ACAGCTTTGAGGGCTACGCAGCCGAGCTTCGTCATTGCCAGAGCAAAATGAGGAATGGCACTTACCCCTCCATCGATCCCACACGGCCCCTCAGCAGCCTGTCAGACAAAAACAACACAGTTCAGTACAAAGCCACATTTGTATGAAATTCGGTGTCAGGCTACATAGTGGTGATTTCTCAGAAACTTTCTAAGGCACAAGTGGAGAAACTTCAGTGCAACAAAAGTAACTTTGTATAAATGTATTTTTAATTACATTTCATAACTTATTAAATAGCAGCTTTTTTTAGATGTAGATCAACTGAACTGTCATAAAAGGAAAAGTATAGGCTTCTTTGCATCCATTAGAAACTTGGCCTCACCACGTCCTGTTCATTTCAATGGAGAGCTCTGCCGTGGTGCATGATGGTTCGCAGTTCGGTAAAAAAGTTAATCGCATTTCAACTTTATGCAAATGAGTGCTGGTGTGTTTAGCCAATCTGTCAAGAGTAGGCTGGTCTTTGTCAAAAACTCCAGACAAAACAGAAGCTTTCTCTCTTTCTCTTTGAATTCATGACAATTTAGTACAATAATTATACAGAACTGTTGACAGGATCTGGAGGGAAGATGTTCGATTGGTTAAAGTTTACATTGTTCAAGTGGGAAAACTGAAAGCATACAAAGCTTTAAGATTACTTGCTAAGGTAGCTAGCTTGCTAGTGAGATTGAGCGAGCTAACTTTCTAACTTGTCAATGACTGATGCATTCTGAAACTTCTAAAAGCATAAAGGTCTGTACTTATTTTCTGTGCAAGCTTATTTGTTGCTTTATAATATATAAGAAACTGCACCAGATGTGTTGCCAGTGGTGAACAGAGGGAGCCGGTGAGGTGGAATGCGGCAAGAAAAGGTACAAGTGGACGCGTATCATTATAGATCAATGTACCAGACATGATTACAACCAGTAGAACAGCTTACATCTGCTGTTAGAAATATGAATGTGTATGATTTGTACATTGGAATAATTAATGTGTTTATAGCTGAAAATTAAAAGTTTTCAATGATTTTCCATCATTCTAAGAAATGGCCTTTCCCTTGACTTTTCATTGACAATGTTTTGTTTAACTACATGTGCAATACTAACTTTGCATGTTTTTGCAAACATGAATTCAGATGCTTTGAGAATTATTTTGAGTGGTAATAATTCCATGTGTTGCTCCTTTAGTTTTGTAATAGTCTGAAAGTATCTGTGGCATTTCTCATTCATTCACTTGTTCATTCATTCATTTATACAGGGGTGAATTAACCCACTGACACCAAGTAAGATGTACAATAAAATACAATTGTATATAAGCAAATAAAACAGAGCATAAAAAATAACATGGTAGAAATGAGAAAAAGTAAGTAAAACAGACTCTCATCTATCAGGTTGTTTAAAAATGTTTTAAACTGACAAAGTTGAAAAAATTTTGTATTTTAACTCGAAGTTAAATGTTATTCTACACTAACAGGGCATTGATTTTAGCAGCTAATCATATAGATTATATAACCATAATCTAATACTAATAACATCATTGCTTAAATAACTTTCTTTTTACTTTCCAAAGAAAGACAATCTCTATTTCTATATAAAAAAATCCCGATCAAATTCTTAGCGATTTTTATTTAACAACTCATCAGTGTGTGCACTAAAGGATAGCCTGTCATTGATCCAAATTCACAAATATTTGTGGTTTTAAACAGGACCAGTAAAGTATTTAATGTTTCATTAAAAGTACCAATTCGATGAGATCTGTACAACAATGTATATTTTGTTCTCTCACCATTCAGCTCTAGTTTCAGATTTCTGTAACAAGTTAAAATCTTAAATATTTCATGGCTACAATCACAGAGGAAGTAAATGAATACATTACAGAAATTGGGACTGTTTTCAATGAACAACAACACATTGAGTTCTATTAATAAGATCATTATGGAAGCAACTGTGCATGCTGGTAAACGTGGATAGAAAGCAGCCTTTATTTGAGCCAATCATGATCAGCAGGATCAAAAGCCTTTGACCTGGTCTTAAAATTGACTGAAAAGTATCTCAATTTCTCTGTATAAAAAGCTATGCAGAAGAATATGGATAAGAATTGTAAATATTTACAAAAATTATGTTATGATCTATTTAGGCCCAAGGCATTAACTGAGATAATAATAAGACAAATATACACAAAACCATCATATATAAAGTACTTTCTAGTTGTTAGGCGACTGTCACACACTCTGACCCCAAAATTTAAATTTGTTCTGTTCTTAGGTAAGAACAGAATCTACACACATGCAAGAGCACAAAGGTGTGCACAGTTCTGCAGTTTAAGAACACGTCATGGATCTGACATCGACTTTTTCTTAGAACCTTTCTCAAGAACACGTTTAAGAAAAAACTTAAGAAGATATTGGTGAATGAGGCTCAATGCTCCCTGTGTGGCAAATTGCTGCCATCTAGAGTCCAGAGGGGATTATGTCACTTTAACTGTAGTTTCAATAAAAGTTCCATTAACGTTTAGATGTTTTTATACAGTGCTGTTAGTTACTTTTTAGAAAATGTCTATACCTCTTAGTTTATGAACCAACTGATAGATGTTTTTAAACATTCACATTCATGCACTGTTATGGTTTTTAAATTTTGTTTCAGATGAGTTCTCATTGTGTGTGAGTGGCATATGAGTCCTCTCAAACATGCACATCATGCATTTCATACTTCACTGGTTGCTGCTTACTGTACAGATCTGAGGATTTATTTCTTATAAAATCATTCTGTTCTCACAACCTCTGGAATGAATCCAGAATGCTGTTTTGTTTGCCCAACAACCAATAAAATAAATCTTTTCTACTGGGACTATCCTTAAAGCAGTCATGTAGAAATGTAGTAATTCAACTGAAAGTGTATTTTGTACCTTTTCTCCTGTTTTACAGGGTTTTTTTTTTAATTTATGGGCCCCTATATAGATTCATTTAAATTATAAAACTTTATATTATGTCATTCATATATGTTATTGTTGATTTATTCAGAAGATCTGCTCTGAGTATTGTATATACTTGTATATAATCTGAGCTCAAAAATGACATTCAGTTTAAGTGCAGTCTTTGATGAAAAGGAGGTTGAAATCCATCCGGAAGGGGTGGATCTACAGGGCAGCTTGAGCCTTCGTAGTGCTTCGTAATGCATCCTGCATTTCTTAACTTGACAATAATGTGAAGATGAAAAAAGGCTATTCTAGTAATATTGTTTATGTATTGTCTATATATATTTGCATATGTGCGTCGAAGAACAGATCAGGATCTAACGTGTTGCCAATGTTTTTAAGATCCTATTAAGATTTAGCGTTAAATTAAATGAGTGTTTCTAGCAGCTTTTGGTCCAAGAAGAAGAACCTCCGATGAGTAGGAGGAAGCTGCTTGACATCCAGTCTTTTATGTCTTTTACACCATCCTCAATCTGTTTACTCAGTTACAGTGTCATCTGTTTTTTCTGATATGTACAATTTGTGTGTCATCAGCATAGTAGTACAAATGTTAATGCACAATGTTAACTGTGCCATGTGCAAAAGTTTGGGCACCCTTCCAGTTATAAATGTCTCAGAACTCAGGCCTTAATTTTATTTATTTAGTCCTTTGAACGTTCATCTAACAAAAGGAATTGTGTAATACAATATTAGGTATGATCAGTATCCTTATATCAGGCTAGAGAGAAAGACTAAACAGAAAAAAACTTCAGAAACCAGTTCAGGAGAGAACACTCTCCAAGTTTGTTTTCAAGCTTACAATAGTGGTCTCCAGTTACATTCATGTGACTTCTGTGCCATAGTTACAAAAGCCTTAGATAACAGTTCAGATTACACTTTTTACTTCACAAATGTCAACGTGTGTTAATTATAGGAGGAGGTACTGAATAATAGAATCAGTAGTCCCCCGTACCTAATGCACTATTATCATCAGTTGATACATGAGGTAAACCAGCGAGCAATGACAAGATCTATGGGGTAAACCAGTGACCAATGAAAAGATTCACAGGATAAACCAGTGACCAAAGAAAACATCCACAAGTAGAGAAGATTTAAGGTAAACCCACCAGTTTCCTCTGTACAATCGTATTACCTTTGTTTAATCCCACTCATGTAAAGGATACCTGAGGGTTTTGAATTGCTCGCCTTGAAAGATAATGTTCTTCTGATGTATTTTAAGCTTTTCATCCTCCTTTTAAAGAAATGCAAAGTTGGAAAGGTGGACCACTAAGAGGTTAAATCAAAAGGAAATGATTAGAATATGTGTGGAATGGGTGGCACGCTTTGATTTGTTTTTTGAGGTTACTAAATTACTACATTGTCAGAAAAAAGTAACGTGCTGGTACATTTTCATTTATTAAGGTACAAACAATGTAAATGTCCCCTCAAAGGTCTGAGTGTGTATCTTAAAAATTCTTTTCTCAGGGGAAATGTACATATTTGTACCTTTTCATTACCTTTATGTTCTGAAACAGATCAACAAAACAAAAAGCCTGGAGCCAAGACACGGGGTGGCATCAATACAACTTAAACATATAGAAATGCAATAGATGACGGTACAATTATGTTCCCTAACTGAAGGTACTGAAGACATGACAAGAGGGGTAGCGCCCCAGTGAGAGGTTAGTACCTTTTTTCTGAAAATGTATGCAGCTGTAGTCAGATTATTGACCTCACTTAAGAATCAGTAATTATTTCACTATAAAGTATAAATTTTAGTTGACATACAGGCCAGATTTCCTTTATCCTAATGTAAAATATCAGAGTTCATATATCAGAAACGTGTTCTGGAAAAATCACTTTCCTTTCAGGAGATCTCTTCATCCAGGCAGAGTCACCAACTCTCCAAAACTACAATTACAGAGCTATGTGTGCCTGTGCACCTGAGACGTACTGGCATTGTTCACCTTGAGTGAATAGGTGTCTTGCTGATGTATTTTAAGCTGTTTTCTTTCTCCTTCTTTTTAATACAAAGACTACTCTAAAGGAAAGGCACACAAGAAACTGACTGCACAACTATACGTGTTTTGGCTGGCAGGTTAGTGTGCATTTTTTATTAAATCAAAAAGAAACCTGTTCTTGAGGTTTTCTGTATTCTACTTAAGCAGTAGTCAGAATAAATTAAACTCACCTAAGAGAGAAAAATAATTTTTGATTTCAGATTTCAGCAGTGCCCACCTCTGCTGACGGATTCAAACTGATTTCAGTTATGGGACTGACTAGATATTTTTAAGATTGATGATAGTTGGTCTGGATGTTTGGTGGCCTGTTGTCATATTGATTTGATAAAGTTTTGATGTGGATTGTAAAAGGAATTTTCTGATCTTTCTGATCTGATCTTTATGGCGATCTGTTCTCCACTGAGACTGCATGGGAAGTACTTACAAGAAAACACTGGCAGTCTTGGTAAACATTAGCAAAAAATACTATAAAACATAAGAATGCTAATGGCCAGTTGATCTAAATGTTTTGTGGTCTGTTGACTAATGACTTGACATATGATTTTGATGTCTGTTCCTCTCTGAGGGTAGTTACAATTTTCTCTACAATTACTGGTAATAAACAAAAAATGTTATGAAAAGGTCTTTGTTGTTTATCAACTTGATATTCACTAAATTCTTATTCTAGAATGGGCATCATTTTTGTTTCTTAAAGAAATTTGTCAATGTATATAAAAAAGCTTGTACATGTCTGTTATTTTTTAATATTTTCTGTTTAATTTTTAATTGAGAGCTAAAATAAAAAAAATGACAGCAAATGACAGAGATAATCACTCATGTTTTTATACTGCCATGGTTAAATTATTATAATATTTTATTTACATGTCTTAGTCAAGGAGCTATGACAGGCACCAACAGATCCAAAATGCTGCTGGTCATGTACTACAAGGACCAGAATATATTTCTGAGTTGTCGGTATTGTATTCAAATGCTTGGGTACTGAGGTCCTCCAGCCAAGGATTCTTAGTAATCCCTAGGACTGAGCGGAAAAAGGGCAATTGTGCGTTTGTGGTTTGTGCTCCTACGCTATGGAATAATTTGCGCTTAGATATTAGACTTACTGGGTCCAAAAGCTGTTTAAAAAAACGCTTAAGGCACATCTTTATGCTTTAGCTTTTGTGATTAGACACTGCTCATTTTGTTTCTGTGGGTCATGATGTGTTATATTGTTGTAAAGCACTGTGTAGTGTATTTTTAAAAAAGTGCTATACAAATAAATGTTTACTTATTGAAACTCTGAGACTAATTTCACCTTTCAAAACACTTAAATTATAAAAGCAATAAGCCATGTTGTGTTACTGCAGTGTGTTACTGCAATTTTATCATGGGATGGGTGTTCCCTGCTAAGAATAAAACCTGACAAAAGTGGCTTATTGCTTTTACAAACTGGCAGCCAACATATCATAAAATACACTACTTTTCAGAAAATAATTTTATTAAAAATAATCGACATAAACAAGTATTCTGTCAAGAAATGAAGTTCCTTTAGTGTATGTGGTATCGTTGCCAAGCAACCATGGACCTCTGAATGAAGAGAACACTCAGTTGCCCATCACTGTATACTGCGGTCATTTCATGAACTTTTTAACTTTTTGTTGTATAATAATGAACATATAATACCACAGCACTGTTTAATGCAAAAACTTGTTTTCTAAGTACTTTTTGGTCACCAGATTATCACTGCAAGTCTTATATAACACCAATCCAGCGACACCCCTCTTCTCGTGCTGGGGCTGAATCTCAAATGGCTCTCTGCTCCCTACATAGTGCACTATGTCGGAATTTAAATACTGGATTCTGCACCCCAATGATGCAAAATATAGCTAAGAAATAGTAATTTGGGATTCAGCCACATTCATACTCATATGAATGATGCACTATTTGGCTGTACAGGCTAGAATTTCTAAACTTCCATAGCGCACTATTTAGGCAATATGGAGCCGTTTGGGATTCAGCCTGGGTTTGACGCTACTCCTGACTGAAACACAAAGATCTGAAGTGTGTAATTCATTCAAGTGACATTTTTTAAGCTTTTTTTACTTTTTTTACTTTTTTACAGTGAATCATACCGTAAGTACTTTAATTCAAGCCTGTGATTTTCATGATGGAGTTATTTAGGCAGTTAGCTGTCTTTTAGCCTGTTAGCTAGTTGACCAGCCTAGCTCTAGTTCAGAACATAAGTCGCTAGCCCTTCAGTTTAAACAGAAAATGGGTTCCTACATCATCAATATACTCGGTGGTCCATGCGAGCAGCATTGGATTAAAAAATGATTCCATTAACAGCACAAGGTTTTGTGCCTTGGTGTAGTAATATATGAATCAGTTGTTGTGAGGCAGTCACAGGTGTGTGAAACCTTCAAACTGGCTTAGCCAATCAGATTTTAGGACCAGAATGATATGTTTTATAATAGATTTCAACTGACTGTAATTGAGGTAACAAATGTGCAAATAGAATGCATCAGAAAATACACCACTGAGATGAGAAACATTTCTTTGCCAATACAAACCTGCTTGGAAATGGACACAAACCTATTTTGCCCACACACAGTGAGGAGGCTTGAGAGGCAAAACTTTTTCTGAAAGATTTGCACAGGTTTAGGACTTGCAGTGACCAAGTGTCCAAAACTACACACATTTCTACACTTCCAAACTGGACAGCAACTTCATACCAACACATTATTTGGAAAGCTTGCCAGAAGAAACCCCTGTGACTGTCAAACCACAAACAGAAGTGCTTGGAGTTTAATGTTCAATGGAACTTTGAATAAAATCTCCTTCTATGATCAGATGATACAAAAACAGAGCTTTCCTTGGGAAGGTTTGTCATAGAAGAGTAAAGGTTATGCAGAAAAGAAGCTAAGCCCTACTCTGAAGTGGCAGTGATGTGAGGTTTTTTTAAATCCAAAGACCCTGGAAATGAATTAGCACATACACAGCACCATGCACTTCTGTTAATTCCAGTAGACAGGGTTGAAGCTGGACATTACAGACATTACAGCATATTGTCAAGTGTTCATCATAAAATAAAGATATACAGAATATAATTGTTCAATCTTTTTCAAAGATGTCAATAATTCTGGAGGACACAGTAACAAGACTGCATACCTGATTACATATTCCCTCAACGTACAAGGAGTGCTGGGCATCTAAAATTCCATTCCTTATTAGTTCCAATATAAGCATCCAAATAATTGTTTAAATCCTTATAACACTGTGTCTCCTTATAGTTAGTGTAATTAAATAAATGGTAAAATGAAATAAATAAAAAATAATTATTAGATTAAATCAAATATGCTGTAATGCACAGCTGGGGGAAAAAGTCTCATTGCCCAAGCTGATCCCTCATCATAAGGAATCTCCCTCTAAAAAGATGAAACATATTCTCAATGTGCAAATACACGTGCAATATGCACATCAACTCTGTAACATCCTTTTAGTTGTGTGAGGCAAATAGACTCACAATTACAAACTAGCCAAATGTTTCTTTTTTCAGGGAAAAAGATATTAGTCGAGATTTTGAGGAGACCTACATCGCAAAGCAAAAACACCACTCACTGGATTAAAAGGCAAGCAATTAGCTAGACCAGTTCAGGGTTTGGAACATAGTACTTAGACTGATGTTCACCAACCGTTTGCTGGTTGATATTTAGTCTTAATGAAAAATGATACTACAAAACAGTATCAGATCATATTATAGTATTGTTGGCATTTGACATCAAGGCATTGTATGGATTTTTGTGGAAAAGCATGTTTTTCCGCAACCACTTCTTAAACACCAGGAAAGCTAAGCTTCTACACTGGTTACTATAGCTAGACAATGCATCTTTAAAGCTAACCATCATAACATACACTGCGCATTAGCTGCAAATGTGTCAACTAATTGCCTGCAATCTTTGTGACCTGAATATTAACATCTTCCGGATCACAATCATCAAATACATATTCTCTTCTGCATTTCAGATCAGATTCAGTCATGCTTTTCTTTCTGCTCTTTTCAGGTCAGTAATGATTGACTTATTTTGAGCCATGCGATGTTTCACCATTTGTTTGTACATTTACCTTTGATATTCGACTCTCTATGATGCTATATTTTATATACTTTTGTTTTTCTTACAGGACTCTGCATGCTTCCCTGCACATTCAGTGGTAAGTGGATTTTTTGTACATTTTGTCTATACAGTCATTACAAAATCTGTTTTGCTGCAGTAGGTAGTGCTCACAAATACCCACTGTTTTTGAGTTTAATTCAATCAGGGATTTCCACAGATTAACAATTTCACTTGCGGGAAACCAGGATGATGTGATTAATTTTATTACAATCTAATAACAAACAGTTTCCCCCTCAGGGATGTGCATCCTCTCACCTGCATGTAATCGAAGCAGCATCAATAGCTTATTTTTACATATTTCAGTGTTGGCAGTGGATAAGAACACCTGCAGCTGACCTTGGTGGGAATACAGCTTCTGCACTGATCTGAATTCAGGGCTGCTAACAAACAATTATAAAAGGACAGTTCTTATTCTAACATCTGATCTAATCTGTTCTAAAATCACGCTTCAAGCATGCATTGATAGAATTTTATATTCAGTAGTTAATAAGTTATGTTGGTTATTGTGGTATTATTAATAAAGATTTCATATTTTTCTGAAAATTATTATGTTGTATTCTGTGGCCACTTTTTTTTTTTAAATAAAAGAGTTTGAAATGGTATGTAAACGTTTCAAAACATGCTGTTCACTCCACAGTATGTGCAGTCCATGGAAACAAAGCTGCAAAAACAGTCTGTTTTGAATTCATTGTTTTCATGATGTTATACATCCACCTATTCAGCCTACAACAGTTTAGTCCAGATTAGTGTTTCAGACTACTTCTTGAATAAGGCACAGTACATGGTCAGCCAATCAGAACAGACGGCATTTACATATATGAGTCATAAAGGCACAGTAACAACAGCAGCTTGTTTAGTTCTAAGAGATAAAGAGGGAAAAAAATCACCATGTGATTTTATACCATTTTGAGTGGGAGTGGGAAAATTGTAACATATTGGTCAACCAATGAACAAATGCTCCTTTTTTTCTTGCATTTTTCTGATTGAAATCTTTCACAATATCTTTCAAATTACCCAACATATCTGCAGACATATCTGTCCCCTTGTTGGCTGTAGCATCTGCTTTCCTTGATGTAAGATAGGAAAAAATATGGACATATTTGTTTTCATGTTAAAGTATTGCTTTATGTGCACTGCCACCACCACTGACATATTTTCATTTTTTATTTTAAACTGGAGAAGCTATAAACTCAGTCACTAATTTCAAACTTATGGCAGCCTAACATCTGGACATGATTAAATACCACAGGTGCATTTTTGTTCACCACCCAGATGCACGGTGCGTTTTACGTGTATATGTGCATGTTTTTAATGTTCAGGCCCCTGCAGCGTATGACCTGCAGGCTGCTCACCCTATATAAACACAGATCAGCAGAGATATTGGATATGAGGAGCCCTGAACAATGAGGCTTTTCTGATACACCATTCCTGTTTTTCTTGAAAAACTGCACTATGTGTCTGCTATATGTGTGCCAATACTAAAGCTTCACTGAAGAGAAGTTGGTTCTGGAAACCATGTATAAAGTGGCAATGACTGCTATGTATATAGTTTAACCAACATAGATATATAAATGCTGCTTAACCCATTTATGTCCATACAGGAATTTTTAACATTTCCTTAACTACAGCGGTTCTTAGGGCTCCACGAGCACAAACCTGAAAACGTTTATCACAATTTGATAATATCTTGTGAAGTGATAAAATCATTATTGACATTTTAATTACCACCTTACACACACACACATACACACACACACACACACACACACACACACACACAATGAATATAGTAAAGATGTTCTGCTTGAAATGAATATCTATGTGTGTGTGTGTGTGTTCTAGTTGTTCTCAGTTGTTCTAATGCAGAGTGACCTCCTTTGGAAATGTACTGAATTCTCCTAGATAACACACATTCTTTGTGTGTTTGAATGTGTGAGGTGGTAATTAAAATGTTGATCTATTAATATTTTTGCCCTTTTATCACTTCATAAGAAATTATACAATTGCAATAAACAGATCATTCATTTTTCAGCAAAATTTGAGTGTGCAAAATTTACAAAAAGAGTAACCCTGTTGGACCAAAGACTAAAAGTACAATTAGAAAATGGCTTTACTACATTGAGCTACAATAAAAAGTCAAAGTACAATAATATATGAATAATTGGTGGTTATATGTGGTAATTAAGAGAGAAATTATTGTCCAAAGTTATTTTTTGAATTTTTCTTTGTTTTCCAAAATTCCAAAATATTATTCAAATTATACTTTGAATAATAACCCTTAAAATTAATATTTCTAATAATATTCAAAGTACAAAATTAGAAATATAAAATACAAAGGTTATTAGAATTTTCAATTATTGGTTGGTTAGGTATTACGCATAACGGTAATAAGGATACTGCGGTAAAAAATTGTGTCAGTGCCTTAGTAAGCCAGAATGTTCTGTGGTGAGCAGAGCTTTTAGTCATTGTCAGATAGAGAGTTTTTTCAAATGTTGGCTTGAAAACTGTGCACTGTGTTCACTTATATGGTAACCATGTAAGTGAACTAAACTTTTTGATTATTTTTGATTTTTGACATGTTTACATTTTTGCCAAATTTTGCAGAAATTCCATTTTCCCTTTTTACAACCGTTTCATCAGATGTTGTGATAGGTACCACATCTGCTCCAACTTCATCAGGTCAGAGTATATTTTTAATTGGTTGGTACATCCATAGAAATAAAAATGTCAATGTATAAAAAATATTTATGAAATATAGAAGGAATTCAGTTGGTGTACTGCATAGAAACTGAATGTCAAACGGATTACAAGAAGATTCAATTTAGGTGTCAACTTGTTTTAAACAGATTGATTAGTTATGAGGAGAGAAATTTTATAACTTTGTTTAGACTTTTTCAGTTCATACACACAATTAATTTTCTGAGTACTTTCTGGGTCATAAAATGATAAGGAATCATGTATATAGTATATACACTATATACCAGTATATAAACAGTATGCAAAATTTTGAACACTCATGGTCAAATTACTAGTTTTGTTGATTTTGTTAGTGAAAATAAGTTAACACATCCTCTACAGAGCACACACTTCAATATCACATTTTTCTTCTAATGTTAACGCCCTATTTTGATATATTTTATTTTGAGTTTGACATATAGAAAACAATAAATATAAAATGTTACAACACAGACATGCCATAACTTTTGCACAGGCAATATTTTATATTTTTTCCTAATATGTTAAGTTAGCAAATAAACATTAACTGTGCATTTAAATGTACAGAAGTGTTCTCTGTAAAGGACTTATTACGTTATTTTCACTTTGACAACTGACAAAACATGTCATCTGACCAGCGGCGGCCAAACTTTTAAATACAACTGTACATATTATCACTTCAAAAATGCAGAGTGCCAGGATGGTTGGTTGCAATATGGATCTCGCTGCTTCAGGGTCTTTACAACAGCAGCAACCTGGAATGACTCTGAGGTGCAATTTTTTACACTACATTTTTACAGTTGAATTATTTTACTCTTGACTGCAGGTCAAGAATGAAAATGAAAGCTAATCATTACACAGGATGACCATGTGATTCAATACTTTCAGCAAAACTGTGTGAACATGGGAGGACATCTTGCATCTGTGCACAGCAGTGAAGAGTACACTTTCATCCAGGACTTAATGCTGAACGCAACTAATTCAAACTCAACATGGTTAGGTGGAACTGATGCTGCACAGGTTTGTAGGACAAGTATCTTTATATATTATATATATATATATATATATATATATATATATATATACATATACATATATCAGTATGCTTTATAAAGTCATTGCATTAACTGTTGAGCATTCACATTTCTTTTCATAGGAGGGAGTGTGGGTGTGGACAGATGGCTCAGCATTCGATTACATTAACTGGTCTCCTGGACGACCTGATTATCTTGGCTTTGAGAACTGTATAGAGATGAATGTTCCAGGTATCATTTCCTTCAGTCAGTTTTTGAGCTTCTTCTATGAAAATGATTTCTATAATGATTCCATTCAGTTGATCTACACTCTTAAAAAAGGCATCATCAAAGAAGCACTTTTGGTTCCCTAAAGAAGCATACTTGAAAAAGAGATTTGTGAATGCAAAAATACCCTTTAAAGCTTTAAAGAATCTTCACATAATCTAAAAGTTTCTTATGTTTCTTATGTTTTTCAGTAACACTTTAATAGAACACTGCTACATTACATTGACATAATCATGTCATAAACATATCATAGACGCTGTTTTATGCTCTCATTAGTTGTCATGACATATTTTGTTAGTACTATAACACTGTTGTGTGACTATATCAAGACAGATTACATAATGTTTGATGTTCTGACAGCTAACTGCAGTACACAGCAAAATTAGTATGTGACATAAGCTGTCAAGGCATCAAACTTTACTGCAGGTGTCATGACTTTTACAGCTAATGAGAACATGACACAGCTAATTATTGAACAAAATCTGTCATGTCAATTTATGACAGCAGGAGACATCTCCTATGACCTGTTTATCATATCAGTGTTCTGAAGCAGGGTTCAAGTAAACTGTTTACACTTTGTACATTAAGGCTCATCACATCTTATAAAAGAGAACCCTTTATGGCGCCATTCATTTTAAGAATATACTATGGAAATGCTCTGAAATGCTTGCAGACCACTTAAAGACTGCACATAATTATACATCTCCTCCTTTCTTTCCTTAGTGTATTGGAATAACGTAGACTGTACTGCACTATTGCCATCAGTGTGTGCCAGTAAGTATTGCAGCGTGTTCAAAATGTTCTGCATGTTAATTTTGGAGTAATTTGCAGCATTTATTTACTGGTTATTCTATAAGCGCTCTAAGTGTAAAGGCAGGGCTAGCTCATTTGTTGTGTTCTGTTAGATTAGGAAGTACTAGGAGTCTAACACTAACGGCAGAGGCGTGGCGTGGCTGTGGCCAACTACAGCCCTTTAATAAAGCACAACGACTTGTGCATCAGCTGTAGCTTCTTTAATAGTGGCAAAGGCTTCAGTAGCAGTGAAATCAACAGTCTTTAGTCCAGATGTTTCCAATCAACAAGTGCCTTGTTGCCTCAGGTGGTGGAGTATAGAAAACACAGAAATGTTCAGAGCATGGGGTTTCCAGGACTGGGACTGCTTTAATAATTTTCAGTTCATTTTCTGGGGTGTTCAGGACTGCAAATAAAGCTTTTCTGGGACATGTTCACAGAATCATAATCATTCTCATCCATTCATGTAATGTCACTTAAAAATACAGAGTGCCAGAATGGTTGGTACCAGTTTGGATCTCGCTGCTTCAGGATCTACACTGCAGCAGTAACCTGGAGTTATGCTGAGGTGCAGTTTGAAATGCTTTATTATATTTGAAGGAATACTTCAGTGTTTTTCTATCTACAATTCCATTTTCAAAAAGTTGGGATGCTCTGCAAAATGTAAATGAAAACAGAATGCAATGATGTTCAAGTCATGTAAACCCTATATTTGTTTAAAAATAATACAAAAAAATGCTGAAACTGTTTTTTGAAGTATATATGCCAGCAACATGTTTCAAAAAAGTAGGGACAGGGACATGTTTACCTTTGTGTTGCTTCACCTCTTCATTTCACATATATTATAATAATATATATTATTTATTACTTTCAGCAAAACTGTGTGAATATGGGAGGACATCTTGCATCTGTGCACAGCAGTGAAGAGTACACTTTCATCCAGGAATTAGTGCTGAACGCAACTAATTCAAACTCACAAACATGGTTAGGTGGAACTGATGCTGCACAGGTTTGGATGATCCAATATAATTCCAGTAATATTTGTGAATGCACTGTATTAACTGTTTTTTTTTTCTTTTTTTACCATTTGCATCTTTCTTTTTATAGGAGGGGGTGTGGGCATGGACAGATGGGTCAGCATTCAATTACAATAACTGGTCTTATGGACAACCTGATAATGGATATTGGTATAGCGAGAACTGTTTAATGATGAATTTCCCAGGTATTATTTCTTTCAGCATGATTTTCAGCAGGACTTCTATAATGATAATTTTACATCACTGATCTACTATGAAATGGCTCTTGATCAATGAAATGCTAATAGAATGTTTGTACACTTGCAGACCTCAACATAATTATGCTTTTTCATTCTTTTTAGTGAGTTGGAATGATGCATATTGTGACAATGTGCTTCCATCAGTCTGTGCCAGTGAGTATTTTAAAGGTTTTGATTTATTATTTAATGTTGGTTAGAGTAACACAACATTGTCCTACAGCTCTGAACTTTCAACTACGTAACTGATTTTGGGCAAACTGGTTTTACCATTAAGCTGGAACAATTTGCAAAATAGAGTTAAAATAAGTTCTGCTGTTTCCCTTAGTTATTTTAAATGTCTCATTTCTCATTAATTTGTCTGATTGTGTAATTGTTAGGCCTATCTGCCATTAGAACTAGAGCTGAGAACCCTGCTAGCAATGACCTTTACTAGGAGCTGTGAAAATGCTCCAGCATAAAATAAAGCATGGTGTACACCAGGCATTTCTTTTTCATTTTGTACCTGATAATTTGGCAACTCTATGGATAATCTTGATTAAATACAGCTTTGGGTGCAACTTCTTGCTTCTGCAGAAACAATCACTACAACTACTGTTCCCTCAACTACCGTCCCTTCAACTATGACTGTCACAACCTCTGGTCCACCTACACCAGGTCAGCATATGTGTGTTTTTTATGGTCTGTTTAATACAGTAGGGTTTAAAGGTCTGAGACCACAAAGAAAATCTGGGATTTGGTTTTTCATTTAAACCTGGAAATAAACAACAATTTGTTAAGGCCTTTGTACGAGAAGGTACGATTTTTTCACACGTTTAGAGGACTCTCAGCTGGATTTGATCTACTCATCGGAGGCTTCTGCACAAACTTGTGGAGTCCATGGCTGAATGTCAGCCCAAAGCTGATTTCTGGCATATCTATATTGTATCCAGAGTGATTTTTGACAGTCTGGACAGCAAAAACACAGGAAATCCAGTTTCTGCAAATAGGATACAAAGCACATTCAGAGGTGGTTTGAAATGTGATTCCAATTGGATGTTCATAGATGCATCTCAGTTGGAATTCAAAGTCTTTTGCATCACTCGCAATGCAACAAACAACAACAATGTAAAATCCAGAGTGACAGAAGTGCTGCAATTCAAGAAGAGCACCACAGATTTATGCTTATGAATTTTAAAGAAGTTGAAGGGCGAGATGACAAACCTCCATCTTTCCTGCATCAGCATTTTAAATCTGCATCACCAGTGTATCTATGTAGTTACTAATGTCTATGTTGTTACCAGAGCAACCCATGTAGATAGGTTGGTGATGTCTGAACACACAAGTCCGATCTGATCAATTGCAAATAACACTGCAAACAGTCATCTCAAAAGATCTGATTTGAGAAACAAATTCGATTTGCCTGCAGTCTGAACAAAGCTCATGTCAGTACTTGTGGTCATTACAGCAACAGAGGGACATAATACATACTAAGAAATTCTGAACTTCATGTAAATATTTCAAAGATTCTACATTTCACTCACATTGTTATAGAGATAATATAACCTGTAATGAACAACTTTGTATTCAATTAGCAAAATAGAAGCATTTTCGATAGTGGTCTCAGAGTTTTGGACCCCACTGTGTAGACAATATATCGGTCATTAAAGAACAGAACTAGACTTTTATATAAAATGTCATGTTTCAGTGGTGTTGAACTGCTTATTAGCAGTTAGTAATTATTAGTAATTATTATTAATTATATTTTCTCTATGGTTCTCCACAGAGAATGTGATGGTCATGCGACTTAAAGTGAATTCAAGTAAAGACTTGATGACATCTGACAGTTCACAGCTGTTTCTCCAACAGGTAGTGTACAAAAAGCACTCTTATGTCTTTGTGTTGTTGACTCCTGCTGAATCTGTGCCAATTGTTTGCTAAATAAGGTACACTAATTAAACATTAAAACAAAGCATAAGTCAATATAAAATTAGTTCGTATTGTTATCGGAAACACAAATTGACTTTTGTCTTTTGTGCATTGCTGAATATAGCCATCTAGGGGAGACAAACTTCATGAAGGGCCCACTCAGACTGAGTTTATTTTTAGTTATTTATTTCAGTGTTTCCGTTAATACTATGTTCACATGCATTCATAAATTTATATGTAAAACATCCGAGCAACATCTGCCATTTGGCCAACACTGGTCATAATAGGTTGACACAGATTACAAGACTATAGTCTGTCAACTGAATTCTGAATTTATAAATGTTTGTAAAGTCAGGGAAGCTGTATGGTAGGTAGATGTACCTACTAAAGATGCTGCAGACCATATATTATACTGAATAACATCTATGTCCATGTGTCCCTACAGCTCAAAGGGAAGTTGATAGATGGAGGACTGCCAAGCAACTTCACACTTCGTTTTAGGTCCATTAACAAGAAATCACCCTAGAATGAAGGTGGTTATAGGAGCATTAAAATGATTCATTGCTTATGTTTGAGGGACTCTAACAACTAGCAAAAAAGAAATCAGTACAAATCTACAGTGGGTGTGAATTAATGTGATCTTGCCACTTTTAGGAGATTTTTAACAATGCCAATTCAAATATTACCTTCTGAATTAAGGTTCTATTAGACATGTGCATAGTAATTATGTAAGATCTTAATGTAGAACCCACTAGTCATGAGTTCCACAGTGATGACCGGATTTAACAGAGTGTACGAAGGGCTGAAAGTCTGAATGGTTGCATACACCACATATAAAGAAAAGGGAACTGAATGACTTGTATCTGAAACACATTGTCTGTTCTGAAATCTTCACTGCATTTAATTTTCTGTCACTGCAAATAAAAACAACCTGGGAACCAAAGCTAAAAAAAGCATGAACCACACCAGTGTGAGTTACAAGCTATGAACTGAAAACTGAGAATCAAAAAGACTCAATATTGCATTTCTCAGATATAAACTTTCATAATCTGATAACAAGGCTATTTTATAATGTCTGCACAGGGAGATTCTATGAGTCACCACCAGAGGCTCCTATTTTCCCAATGTTTGTTTGATCACAGTCTTTAATGGTTGGCCTCTAATCATTATTTCCATCTGTTGTGGACTTTCTGTGAAAGACTGCTCTTATTTAATTCTTTGGTTTATTGTTGTGACTAAAAGTCTGCACTTGGATCTTACCTGCCTCAATTTGGAAACATACACTCGAGAGAGAAAACAGACACTAATATAACTGCACAGAGTAAGGAACTCCTCCTGACCAAACAGGCCAAACAAGGTGAAGCGTGTCTACATAACGCATTTAGAATATCTTATGTAACACTTCATAACATTCATTGATGTTCGAATCAACATTCATGAAGTATTCATATTTAAGATGGCATTAACATAGACTACTACTATGGATGTTGTGCCTGAGAAACACTGTCTGAGTTTAAACTGATTTTATAAGACTCTCCCCTACACTGCATTACTCTGCCCCTTTCTTCATCTGTTCAGCTAAGAAAACCGGGCGGAATCCAGTTTGGGAAAAAACATGCTCTGCTGCCAAAAACCTTAACGACCTTTAGAACCATACTACATCAAGAGTCAACACTGGAAGCACTTTTCAAAGATGGAATTATTGCATGTAAATGTGATAAGATTGGATAAAAAATCAGGTATGGTCCATCTGGACATATATATATATATAAAGAGCAGAACCATATGAATGACTGACTTTACATAAAAAATCCAACAGATAAATCTTTAGCATATTAGTCAACTGCATCAAACCAAATTTTCAGTGCTGCTGCAGAGGTGAATTTTGCTTGGTAGTCACAGTTCACTAACAAACTTGTGGGACCTCATTACAAAGAAAAACAGGACAGAAAAAACACCCAAACATTCTTGAGCAGCAAATCAGCATGAACTGAATGTTAAGTGTTAATAGGCTTGTCACTGCACAATCCCCTGGACAAAAGAGACACGAGAGTTTGATGCTCAGTCTTGTCAAACACTGCAGCTATATAAAGAAGTATTTCAAGAGCACTTGAACAGCATGATCAGATGAAAAGTCTCTCTAAGTAAGTGAAATGTAATGTTATGTCATCGTAATTTACCAAGTGGAATAAATAAACACTTTGCGAGGGGGAGACCAGTACTGTAGCCCTCTCTTGATGCTTGTATCTTTTAGCTAGGTTCCTGAAAAGATGCACAACCACCCTTAGATAAATTAGGCTATGGCATCTTATAAAATAACATCTTGTAAATTATTTTGTCTATTGAAAGGACCACACTCACATGTGCTCTATTGAGACGTAGGCTGTATTTTGAGTATTTTGATCTCTTCTCAAGCAATGTTAGCATAATGCCATACTTTTACCATCAATATTTAAACAAGCAAGTAGTGCAATATCCTTAGAAAGTGAAAGGATGACAAAGCCTGGTAATGCTGCCAAACTCTGCATGAACTTGATGGTGGGCACTGACAAATCTTTGGCTATGTTTATCCAAAGGGTTAAAAAAAACATCCCAGTGTTGTAGTTGACCTATTTAACTGCTAGGTCTTCAATTTTGATTCATGCAGCTTTAAACTCTTCATATTTTAATAGCCAAAATGACCTGGCTTTGTCCCCTTGCCTCAACAGTGTAAGCGATGTTTAAATTCTGTGTACATGTGATTCCTCTTGTTCTGGGATGGATCTGGCAGGAGGCTTGTTGATGCCAGCCAGAGCTGGGAGAACTGGGTTAGGTTTCGTCAATTGTTTCAACAAATTTATGTGATAAACTTGGTAAATCTCGTACTGGGTTAATCTAGACAGGAGTCTTTTCCATCCTCTGCAATCACAAAGCAAACCATTCCTTTTATCGTTTGGCTGAATACTTTTACCATCAGCTTGGGGGTGATACATGGTTGTGTGAATCTGTTTGACCCACAAAAACTGGCAAAGATCATGAGATACAAAAAAAGTTACTTGGTCTGTTAAAATATCTGTTGGGAACCTCAACTACACATCAAGAATGGGAGGGTGTGCAAGAAGTTGTCCATGGCCACTTTCTCGTCTACTTTCTCTGCCTCTTAGGGCTCGGGCAGTAACCAGTGCTGGGTTACGTGGAGCAACGGGCCCATTTCCTGTCAACAAGGGCCCCCAGACTTATAGAACTTGTAGGGGAGAAAGTAACATGCTAACCTGGCCTGTCCTATAGGAAATATGGAAAAAATTCCTGCTTATTGTCTTTTTTGTGTCTCAAAAGGGAAAAGGTAAGTCTCAATATCATCACTTGGGGCGACTGGTTTTTTAGGGTCGGAAAGAAGAAGGGACTGGACTCTTGACCTCTGTGAGGTGTATATTTCAACCATTACACCATTTAATTACATAAATGCATGTTCTTTGCTAATCGCATTTCAATAAAGCTAATGTTAGCTAGCAACAGCTGCAGAGATGAGAGGAAGACTTCTAATAAGAAGGAAAAGTTATATCTTTTGCACCCTACATGAATGTCTGCCTGCCCACTGTTGAAATGTCATTGACACTTGTGTGACAAATGCTGTGCAGACGATGGCAGTCTGGCAAAACGAGTCTTTACTGGTCTATTATATATTCTCTGTAATCGGACTATTCTGCTCTCATTAAAGTTGGCTGACCAGTTTATGGCAGAGCTAACGGCAAATTATTAGTGCTGAACAAAAGCAAATGGAGTTCTAAACGGAAACAAAAGGGTAAAGGCTAAATTCTATAAATGCTGAATGCAAATTAGCAAGTTAGAAATGATCAAGAATTTAAGAATTATCTAGAAATATCTAGGTAGACATAGGTAAACAAGCTCTCCTATTGTTTAAAACTCAAAGAGCCCAAGAGAAATCCTAACGCATCTTCTGGAAGCCACTGAAAAAAAGGCACTGACGGTGAATATTATTCCGCCTAACCAGTGGGTTGTTAGAAATGGGAAGCAGCTCTACAACAGGCCTCACTACTGAAACAGTCACTGTGAAACTGCCACAAGGTAAAATATATGCTAATGTATCTGTCATAAGCTTCAAAAATAACATGTCTTTAAGAAGCTTCAAATGTCTGTGTTTAACTCTTATATGGCCATGGGCCTGCCAGTATGCCTACGAATAGCTCAATCAATTTGCATTCAAGTACCTGTAGTTTCAGAATAATAAGCCTTAGTATGTAATAAGCCTGGGGAGTTAAGGGGTTAATCTACTATGGCCAAAAAATGTTAACGTACATCACCATTAGATTAGCACTAACAAACTACAAGAATTTCATAGGGACGCTGACAGAAGTTAGAATTTTCATAGAGGTGTTTTTCCCTCACATTTTGACTAAATTTTTACATTTATAAGGCCTAGCTCAAATAGCCATAGTCACAGGGTAATACCATAACACTGAAATGACAGTGTTATGTATATTTTATTTGGCACTTATGTGAGCAGACTGTGCTGTCTTTTTTCTGAACTAAAAAAAGGCCTATTTCATGGATCCACATCTGTCTTAACTCTTCAGGGCTGATTTGTAGCAACATGTCTTGTTAGACTGTTAGAAACTGTTAGAAGTGAAGGTTCTGTGCAGGTACATTTTTGGTTCATCAGAATACAAACAATGTATATTTACCCTTAAAGGTACAACAGCGGTTTTAAGGCTCAACTGTGTACCTTAACTAAGGTGAAAAGTATGTATTTGTACCATCTCATAACCTAACGTTTCAAAACAGAGCAAAAAAATAAGCCTGGAGATGAGATAGAGTGTGTGGAGTCAATACAACTTAGAAAATATAATTTCAATGGTATATGTTACTATTACGTTCCCTGACTAAAGGTACTGAGATGTACCCTTGAAGGTACCACCCCAGAGACAAGAGTAGTACTGCCCCAGTGACAGTTTTGTACCTTTTTTTTCTGAAAGTATAGGAAAATGTCATATTCTGTGAATATTAGTCAAAAATGTGTACAGTTTAAGCATCAGAAAACAGATTATACTTTTAACTTTAGGGCATATTGGAAAATACATAAACCATTGTCGTGTTTCAGAGAATACCACTGGGAGTCTAAAAATCTATTTAAAAATGAATTTATACAAGTTTACAGGCTCTGCCGTATTGCCAATATCATGACATTGTTTATACTCACTCACTTCGTCTGCTAGTGTCATGCATCCCTGACTCTTTGGTGGACTCAAAACCCTCTGAGAGAACACATAACTATGACATCACAGCTTTCTACACATCAGAGATCTGCCTCACCTGTTTCTTTCATCGTGTGACTTGTTTAGTTAGTATAATAGCTCAGGCTTTGGATTAGTTCAGTGTGAGTTATTGCTTCTTTCTACAGAGGTACTGAGCGTTCATTCTTGTGTTTAGTTGCTGTCTTGTGTTTCGGCCTCTTTGTCTGTGTTTTTCTTACTTTTTGGACTGTGTTTGCCTGGATCTGACTTTCTTTGTGCATGTCTATTTTTGTGTTTGGCTTGTATTGGATCTGACCTTCGCCTGTTTTTTGACCACGACTATGAATCATGTTCAAACTAGTGAAGTCTCCTCTGGAATTTTTACCTGCATGCGTCTGACTAATTCTGTCCCATTACAGCTGAAAACTAAATGAAACTGATATTTTTATTGAAAGCATTGGAAAAACAGGAATTTAATAATTGCATATTTTAATGAGTTCACTTGTAGGCATGTTATAAACAGTAGAAAAAAACAGTGGCACTTTCAGACACGTTTACAGCCAGCTGATACAGATCTTGATCACTGAACTCTGTACATGTCTCGAGTGCAGTGCCATGAGATTTACATTCACAGCTATGAGCCCTCAGTGAAGGAAAAACAGAACATGACTCTAAAGGGTAAACAAGACTTAACTGCTATGGTAGCCACTACTTACTGAACCCCCTATTTAAGGTGCTCAAAAGCAATTAGACAAACTATCATAATCAGAAATTTAACTGTCATTTTTAATACTTTCGTTGAAAATTCTGCCTGAAGTCTGGAGCCCATAGACATCACCAGACGTTGTTTCTTTCCTGGTGATGGTCTGCAGGCCTTAACTGCAGCTGTCTTCAGTTCCTGCTTGTTCTTAGGGTGTTTTACATTCAGCTTTGCCTTCAGTAAGTAATTGCTTACTTTGGATTGAGGTCAGGTGATTAACTTGGCTACTGCAGAAAATTCCACTTATTTGTCTAAAAAGAAAACAGTCTTGGGTTGCTTTCACAGTGTGGTCACTGTCCATTTACATGGTGAAGTATCATCCAATGAGTTCTAAAGAATTTTGCTGAAACCTGAGCAGTCTTCTGCACTAATATAGTCCTCTACACTGTCTACACTACATCCACCATGCTTGTCAGATAAGGTGGTATGTGCTTTGGATCATGAGCAGTTCCTTCTGTTCTCCATACTCTTCTTTCCCATCATTTTTGTTTTGCCTCATCTGTCCATGAGATATTGCTCAAGAACTGTACAGGCTTTTGTATTTTTTTTTTTGGCAAACTCTCATCTGGTCTTCCTGTTTTTGAGCATTACCAATGGTTTACATCTTGTGGTAAAGTCTTCTCTCGTTAATATACTTTGACAAAGATACACCTTCCTCCTGGATGATGTTCTTTATCTGGCCAACTACACTGACCAGCCACAACATTAAAATCACCTTCTTGTTTCTACGCTTATTGCCCATTTTATCAGCACCACTTACCATATAGGAGCACTTTGTAGTTCTACAATTACAGACTGTAGTCCATCTCTTTCTCTGCATACTTTGTTAACCTCCTTTCACTCTCTAGACACCCACATGACCACCACAGAGCAGGAATTATTTGGATGGTGGATCATTTTTAAGACTGCATTGATACTGATGTGGTGGTAGTGTGTTATTGTGTGTTGTGAACATGAGTGGGTCAGACACAGCAGTCTTGTAGAAAACAATTACTGAAGAGAAAATTTCAAATAAATAGTCAACCACAGTGAATTCAAATGATTTGATTGCTCTTAAAGGAGATTAATTCAAACAAATCTTGAAGTAAATCATGGCTATCTACATTAAGGTTCCATGACAATTGTATAATGATTGACAGATATTTGTACATCATATTTACAAAACATAAATCTCGTTCTAACAACAGTGCCAACAGTAAGAAATGGTGTGTAATTTCAATTTCAATAAGTTAATATGTAATGTAAGTGCTACATGTACATATTTCTGCCTAATTTATTTGTATTCAACAATATTTCCTTATTGTAAAATTATAAAAATGTTTTTGAGCTTAAGAATGATGCTATTCTTAGATCATTTTAAAATAATATTTGTAAATATGTCTCTGTGCCAGTGGTGTTTGTAGTGTTTGGCATGAAATGTTTCTTCCACTGGTACACATTGTCTGCTGATCATTGGCAGATGCCCGGAAATAAAGGCTGTGATGTAATTGCTGATCTCTTTGTATGGACATTACAGATAATACCGTCCCAACGTCTTCACTTATGTCCTCCTTTAGCAGTTATGATAAGCAGTGATTTTCTTATACTTCTTCCTCATACCTTCTCAGGGGCTTTTTTGTTTTTGTTTGTACAAACACGTCTCCGAGGGAAAGGCAGATTGCTGGCAGGTCAGTGTGGCTCTCTTTCTTGCTTTTGTACTCTGCTAAATATGTAACTGTAGTCAGAATGAATTAACCTCACTTAATAAAATCTAAATAATCTAATCTTTCAGGGGATTAAATTGTTTTTAAAAATATAACTTTTATTTATAATAATAATAATAACAACAACAACAACAACAACAACAACAACAATAATAATAATAATAAAAAGAGCACATTTTCACATTTAATGTGCAGCCCTAGAAATTCTTAAGAACAAAATCTATTTGACAGGATGGACAGGATCTTAACAGACTGCTATAATCTTTATCAGACAGGAATAGTGCTGTTATTAAAGCAAAGGGACACACAGCCAAGTATAAGAAAGAACATAATGCATCAGACCAATTTTGTTATCTGGTCAGTTTATATTCCCATTCATACTATACTTTTCAAAGCACACCTGCTTGTTTAGGATCTCTGAAAGTCATCCAAGTTCTTACTTTACTTTCACAAGTATATTTGATTTGATTGAGGTTTTTCTGCATTGTTCTAAAAACAATAAATTAACGCCATTTACAAGAGATAATTGCGCAGACTTCCACAGTGGACACCCCTCCTAATCTACTGGCACTGATTCAACAAGCTGATTTTAATTATGGGTTTCACAGCATTTTTCACTACATCTGGATGCAATGTAGTCTGTTAACTCCATGAATGGATATATATTTCTGATGTCTCTTCACAACTGTAACTAAAAGGGACGTTAGAATTTTCTCCAAAGTTATAAGTAGACTTGAGAAGAGAAAGAGGAATCATGCTATGAAAAATATCTTTAATCAACTTATTCTTACACTAAAACTATGTGAGGAATCAGAAAGGAAAAATTATAAAACACTGTAGCATTCACCGCTTTTAAAGAAGGCACAGCTGATGCGCAAGTCATTGTGCTTTAGTAAAGGGCTGTAGTTGGCCACAGCTACACAATACACAGAGTTTTGTCTAACAATTTGTTGTAAACATTTCTACATTTTGCTTCCTCTGCCACCAACGTTAAACTCTCGTTTGCAGTCTATCAGCACTCAGCTCTGACTGAACTAGTTTTTCCTGTTCTACATGAACACAGGCAGCAGGCTAGCCCCACTTTCACAATAGGAATCCTTGTCAGACTATCCTAGGGAACACATTAACCTAAAACTAACGTGAATAACATTTCCCAAACACGCTACAATATTATCCCCATGATGATATCATGTGACATGCAGCCTGAAAGCTCCACACACTTGGTTAACTCAGGTAGCTCCATTCACCAGTAACTAGTATCAACATTTTTTTAGGTCTATTTTGCAGAAAAGTGCAATAAACTGCCAAATATGTGTATTACAACAACTGTAGTTTTTTCTTCAGTGTTTTAGCAAGGACTACTCCTTTTTTACCTGACTCATATGTCATGCAGCTTTACTTTATTCCATTCCCATCACTCCAGTCTTCCGTAAACTGCTATACCCAGTTACCCTATAGAATTTCATTTAATTAATCATTTAACTATTTATTTACTAATTTATTTTCAGCGGAAAATACATGCTGAAACCTATATATACTAAGTCAGTTGATTTTATTTCATTTATCCCTAGCTTTCTCAGTTTCTGTGCATTTTTCTTTTACTTACTTCATTCTCTGACCTCACAGATTACTGAAAAAGCATACATTAAGAACCAAACCCCAGCTAACGGGAAGGAAGACATTCAGTTAACTAGACATAACAAAGCCAAATGTATCTGATGAACCGGAATGATATTACATGATACTGTGCTGACAATATGCTGGTTAACAGTGAAGTTTGTTCATGCTGGCCCACAAAGCCTAGTACCCCACAGGAAAACTAAAATTAACGATTTATAATGAAATTTGCTTTTTCTTTTTTAGGTGTTGACACAAAAAAACTGAGAATTAGGGCCCGAAAAAGATCAGATCATCCATTTCAGTTGAATCACAAAAACCAACATTTGCAGTTTTGTTACATAAATTAAAGAAAATACCGTTTGTTACATAAATTAAAAAAAAGTTTGCAGTGATAAAAAAGAGAAGGGAGGAAAGAATAAAAATGTATGAGGTAGATGTGGACTGTGATTAGGAGTTACAGTCCATCAGATTTTTGCATAAAATATTTCACTGGCTTCCCCCAAAAGAAATTATTTGGTCTCGTGATGCATCTTTAATTTTGAGGGTTTTTGTGATTTATTTGTAATAGCCAAACCCACACTCCTCTCACCAGGCTTTTAGATTAGCATTGTCACAATAAACCTTACTTTATATCTGCTTCTTTGCCATTGGTTTACCAATTTAAGTTTAGCCACTCAGGTCGCTGATGCTCAGCCATACACTCTGCAATCTATAAGCCAAAATCAAATGCATATCCTAGCTACTGTTTGATGGCAGCTTGTGCTGAAGAAGCGATAAGAGAGAAAATGAGAGTTAAAACAGGTAGATTATGCTGGCTGTATGTGCTGCTAGAGAAAGAGGAAAGCAAGCTCTATAGACCACTGTGTCATCATTTTTGTAGTTGGTGCCATGCTCTTATGCCCACATAAGAAACTCTGGATCTAAAAGGAATTTCTCTATGAAAAGTATGAATGGAGTTTCTGAAAACTGCCTATGTCACATCCTGGGGAAGTCAAAAATATTCCAAAGCTGGTACGTTTTGCCCTATAACCAATTTCTCTCAAATATCACTGGATCCTCTAAATTATGAGTCTGTTAAAGAGTTGAAATATGAATATTGCTACATGTAAGCTAATGCTACTGCTCACTGAATTGACATCATTAGACATGCAGCCTCCTTGAAAAAATGAGCAAACCAGCATGCTTTGTCAGTGTGATAGTATATTTCCAAGCACAGACTGAGGTTACATAAAAAGAAGTTCTAACAGGTTTCCTGGTCAAGTTACAATGCAGTTATCTGTTCTTCATCTGCTCACTGAAACAAAACAGGTCTTTCCCTTCTGTTCACAGCTTGCTTTGACAAGCTTTACAAGCTTAATGTTATGTGCACGCAGGCTAATTTACTTCAGAGTCAGCTTAATGTTACTGCTTACCATCCTTATAAGCTGATTTAGGCTATCAAATATCCTGATTATTCTTTTAATGCTGGTAACATATTTCAATAAAGGCATTTGCCAGCTTCTTGTTCAAATTTTCCTGTTCCACCTTAAATGGTTACAATAATAACTGCTGTGCCACTTGTAGTGGAAGTAATGGGAAAATCTGAACAAGAAGCTGGCAAATAGGAAGCTGACTTCAGCTTCAGGTAGCCTGTTTAGTTTACCTTTTTTGTGAAGGTAGTTTACCTAAAATTATTTTTAAACATCCTTAAGAACCCGAGAAAAGTGGAGCTGGCTCAGTCTGCTACAGTAAATGAACATGAAAGAAGCTGACTGTACTGCTGACTGGACTGCTGATTTCTTGGATTTTCCCACATAACATCTAGAGTTTAATTAGAATGGTGCAATAAAGAAAAAACAGTCAGGAAGTGGCAGTTCTGCAGACAGAAACGCCTTGTTGATGAGAGAGGTCAACAGAGAATGGCTAGAGCTGACAGAAAGGCTACAGTAACTCAGATAAGAGAAGCATCTCAGAATGCACAACATGCCAATCCTTGAGGAGGTTGGTGAAGAAAATCATGTCATGTTCCACTTCTGTCATCCAAGAACAGAAAGCTGAGGCTGCAGTGGGCACAGGCTCACCAAAACTGGACAGTTTAAGACTATGAAAACATAGCCTGGTCTGAAGAATCTTGATTTCTGCTGAGGCACACAGATGGTATGGTCAGAATTCAGTGCCAACAGCATGAATCCCTGGAAACAATCTGCCTCGTGTCAGGCTGGTGGAGGTGGTGTAATGGTGTGAGGAATGTTTTTTGTCACACTTTGGGACAATTAACACCAATTAATTGGTATCGCTTGAGTGCCACCGCCTATGAATATTATTCTGAGGTTAGTGTTCTTCAGTGATCTTCCCAGTTACTTGATCTGAATCCAATAGAACACCTTTGGACATGTGGTAAAATTGAGATTTGCAGCATGCAAAAAATCTGCAGGAATTGTATGATGCAATCTTGTCAACATGGACCAGAATCTCAAAGGAATGTTTCCAACATCTTGTAGAATCCATGCCATTAAGAAGTGCGGCTGCTCTGAGAGCAAAGGGAGAATATATAAATGACACTATTTGGACATATGTATTGGGATACCCCTTTTAATTACTGATTTCAGCCACACCCATTGCTAACAGGTGGATAGCATTAAGCTCATAGCTTAGGGCAACAACAGCTTAGCCACAAAGCGGTAAACCACACAAACTCACAGAGTGGGGCCACCAAGCAAGTCTGTAAAATCACTCACTAAAGAGTTCCAAACTGCGTCTGGAAGCAACATCAGCAAAAGAACTGCACATTAGGAGCTTCATGAAATGGGTTTCCATGGCCAAACAGCTACACACAAGCTTAAGATCAAAATGAACACTTTGTGGGAACAGCATGACTGTGCCCCAGTGCACAAAGCAAGGTCCATAAAAGCATGTTTGGCTTAAGTGCAGTTGAAACTTCCTCCCTGACTCAATCTGATCTATGTATTCATCCATAAAATTACATTCTGCACTCCCTCTGAAGCTGTGTCTTTTTTAATAGTGGTGAACTCTACAATATACAAGCCATGAAATGATATGTGTGATTAATAAATAATAAATGACTGTAACATGCCGCTATGACCAGTTCACTAACCAGTTCGTCCACTAACCAGTTCGTGATTGTGCTCACAACAATGATGCCAAGTCAATGAAAACAAATGTTAAATGACCAGCAGCCTTGTGCTCCCACTTCACCTGATGTCCCATTTGTTTGCCCTAATACTGTTAGCAGTGTTTGAATATCACAAAATCCAACATCTCACTTGGAGAATGGCACTTAAATACTTCAGTAACACTTTACTGTAGGGCACTATATATATTTATATGAGGTCTCAATCTATAGTTTTCTGTTTGCTTTGCTTTTGCTTCCACTGTTTGCACATTTAAGAGAATATGCTAAAGGACTAAATAATGTGGGTGTTGAGTAAAATCATTTTTATGAATCCTTATTCAAGTACCATGACACTGTAATAATGCTGTTATGTATATTTTCTTAAGTAAGCCTTATCCTTACTTTAAGTGAGTTTCATTTAACAGTTTCTAAGGGGCTGTTTGACATGCTACCCAATAAACAAACATTTGTAAACTAGTAAGAAAACTGTTCATGCTTGCTGTTAACGTCTAATGGCAGCAATAAATCAAAATGTGGAAACAAAATTACATTAAGCACTGTTACTGAGAAAAAGATCATGCTTTCTGTGTACAAAGTTTTTTTTTTATTTTTTTAATATTTGTGATTAATAGGCAGGTTGTTCAGTCACCTAATGACTTCATCTGAAAAGCACAGACATATTAGCTGGCTGCACTACAAACTGACTGTAGTAAATATGAATTAAACTTGCTTTGTAACAACCATATTAATACCAAAGTACTCCAAAGCTCAAAACATCCTACTTAAACACAGCACACAAGATTTTTTTCAGTTGAACAAAACAAAATGAGCACAAACATAAACAACACATTTACATTACATGTTCAGATGCCTTTGAATCACAAATATTTTATCTATTTAAATGCTATGTAAAGCTCTGTAATAGGAGCAGTGCGTGCAATCGTGTTTCTTTCGACATTTTGCTTTTCAAAGGCCCTCTGGAGCCACATCTTCTGTAGGACTTCATTGCCAGCTTGTAGCATTGTATGTCCCCTTCAATTGTCTTCACTGCAAAAAAAGGCATGAAAATACTGTTTAACAATCATATGCATGAATATCTAAAATTACAGCCTTATGTCTTTGAAAAACCATTATTCTTAAACATACTGCTCTTGGGCTAACATAAAATGATAAAATCCCTGGGCCAACACAGCTGTATTATGCCCCCGGATTAAGACTGGATGATGTTCCTGGGACTACATAACATGCAAACTACCTTATTGAGGTGAGAAAACTAAAAGGTCTGTTCCAGAACTTCAGCTACTACTTTTAAAATAAAATTAGCTGTTTCTGGGTTAACTGAGCTTTCTTATATGATGTTCCCAAGGAAATATTAGCCATGATTTTCCTTGAACTGTAAAGGTCTAACTATGCTAACTCTTAGCTAGCTAAGCAGCTGAAAACAAGCTAAAAGCTCCACTTTGTTACTTTAAGTGTATGAAAAAATGCTGGAAGAAATTGTTCCAAGCTGATCTTTAACAGTGAAAGAAGGGCATTAAATAAGTATTCAGGCTTACCGTTAGGCTAGCCAGATAGCTTAAATATCTAGCATTAGCATTAGCAATAGGTGTCAGACATTAACTAACCAAACTAAAGCCACCTACAATAAATGTTTAAGTAATGTTGTGTAAGTAAAACCAGGACTATATTATTGAGCATGGATGATGTAAAACAAGGAACTTCTAAACTCACTCAGTGTCAGTTAAAAATAGAAAAAAAAGAAAGACCCGGTCGCATGTGGTGATGCCATAGCGTGAACTTTGTGATTGGTTGAACAAATTCAATTTAAGCACCTCCCCTGTTGACCCAGGGCCACGTCTCACTCTGTAATATCAGGACGACCCCTCTTTTGTTCAGTTTTACCAGCTGCCTCATTTTGTTAAGCTGTTTCGCATGACCAGCACTGTGTCACCTTGACATATCAAAAAAAAAAGAAAAAGAGCTACAGTTGTCATAACATGCTATGTCATTTCACCTCAGAAAATGTCATGACACAACCTAATGTCACCAAAAATCTATGTCTCTTGACATAGATGTTATGTCAAGTTGACATCAAAGTTGACAAAAACAGTCTTTATAACAGCTGACACCTTTTGGAATAAGTATTTATAAATGTTCATTTATGTTTGTGTCAGTTGTCATGAAGCGCTTATGTAGGTGTCATGTAGCCTTATAAACAGTGCCCTATAGCTAGCTAGTGCACCAGTTTTTAGAAAAGACCAAGTTCTCTTAAACATTTAAAATCTGGCTTTATCAGGGCCACAATTCTTATTAAATACCTGTTCTCTTCTGCTTTACAGATTTCAGTCATGCTTATTTTCCTGATCTTTTCAGGTCAGTATCCACCTCATACTTTGATACTTTGAACTATGCAGAGATCTGTGAAAAACTATTTGATTTCTTCTGTTTTTGCATATTGTCACACTAAATAGTCCTCATACATCATGTAATACAAGATAAGAAGAACATGAAGAAACACAAATCACAAACCACAGCATCTCTATGGGGTTGAAGTCAAGACTTTGACTAGGCCATTCCAAAACCTTGATTTTGTTTCTTTTGACCAATTCAGAGGTGGACTCGCTCTTGTGCTTTAGGTCTCTGTCTTTACTGTTTATTCTCCTGTGGGATTTTCTGGTAGAAAACTGAATTCATGGTTCTGTCAGTTATGGCAATTCACCCAGGCCCTGAAGCACCACAACATCCCCACACAATCACACCACGACCACCACGTTTGACTGTTAGTATGCTATTATTACTGTGGAATTCTTTATTCAGACCACAGAACATTAGTGCAGAAAGCTTGGGGGTCAACAAGGGGCTTTTTTGGAAATGTAAGAGGAACCTTTATGTTCCTTTTGTTCAGCAGTGGTTTTCACCTTGCAACTCTCCTGTGGATACCATTTTTGCCAAGTCTCTTTCTAATGGTAGGATCACCTGTGGTGAATGAGGTCTGCAGCTCCTTAGATGTTGGATTTGGAGATAATTGTTCTCACAGTGGTTCACTGGAGTCCTAGAGCCTTAGAATCATAACCTTTTCCAGACAGATATATTTGAATAATTTCAATAATATTTCAATAGTCCTTTTTATTGCTTCATTACAATCATTACTTCCACAATTTCTTTTGATCTAAGTATTTTAGTCTACTTCACATTCAACAAGCCTGGCACTAATCAACCCTGGGTGTGTCAAGGTTGAATTTTTCCTAATTATCAACTAAATGTATGTAATTGAGTAAATAAGAGGGTAAATACTTTTCATACATGGCTAGTTTTCTGACGGATGAAATTTCTTACTTTCAATAAATTAAATGATCATTTAAAAACTATATTATGTTTCTGCTCTCACTACAATGTTTTTGTTTCTGTCTTATGTTTGTTTGAAGATCTGTGTGACAAATGTGCAAAAATAGAAGAAATTGGGGTGAATATTTTTTCACAGCACTGTATAATGTTATGTTTGGTCATATTATTCATAAATGTCTGAACAGTATACATGCCCAACAGCACTGTGACATAGATTTTTACAAATATAATATTTGTCTTACAGGACTTTGTGCTCTTCCCTTCACACTAAGTCGTAAGTTGACTTTTTGTAAGTGTTTCTTATTAGACAGCAGGAGTGGACAGAGAACAGAAATGTCATGCCTAAACAAGCATACTGCTACTGTAGTGAATATTTACATAAGTACACGTATAGCTCGGCTAAATCCTTGGAAATAACACTCACACTTCCACTTTTGGTGGCATCAGACTGATAGGGAAACATTGGCGCCATTTATGAATGACATATTTTTACATCCTTATTAAAATATTTACCTCATTTTTACACAAAAAAAATGTTCATTTGATGAAGCAGTTTTCATTTCCATGAAGGGCTTCAAGCTTGTCTTTAAAGATTACCTGCATGGATACAAAAGTAAGGATCTCATGATAAGTTACCCAGTAAGTAACCTGGGTGAGGTGAAGGCAGGAGGCAAGTGTGCTATAAGTGCATGGTCATCAATATATGCATGAATTAAAACACATGAAAGCAACGTGAGAGCCCGGAGAAAAACAAGAAACAAGGAAAACTAAAGAATTCCAGTATCCAAGCTTAGAACTAGGATAGGCTCAGAAATCCTCAAAAAATGGCAACACTCAGCAAAGCCAAAAAAACTGGTGTAACTATGGAGACACACAGGTGGAAACAATGATGACAGGGAGGATCATTGGTAGAGTCAGAGCTGAGTAAGACCAATCCTTGATGGATCATGGGCAACAGAGGCCATAGAAGTAGAGGCCACTAAGGAGATGGAGGCCAGAAGAACAGGGTCTACTGGGGTGGCAGAGAGAGATGCAGCAGAAACCACTGGAACAACAGCAACAACAACCACCAGACATACAAAAGCTTCAGCAGCAATAGGGAGCAGGAACTGTAGGGAGCAACCAGAAACAAACAGGAGCAACAGGGAGCAGAGTAGCAGGAACCCGAGATGATATCCGAGCATATCCGGGATGATAGATAGGAGTACAGGGACCATCAAGAGTGTATACAACGCTCACAGAGAAGGACCTAGAAGGCAAGTAGGTAATCTAAAACATGTCCGCATGAACTGCTGACAGCATTCAATGAGAGTTCTGAAATCAGTCACTACAGGAGAGAGACATATACTTTTGACAAGACATGGTTCAGAACTGGCAAACTGGCTACAAAGGAGCGCAAAGGGAGAGCAGGTGCAGGAAAATTGAAGGTCTGGAGTGGCTGAAACAGGTGCAAGAACAGAATTATAATGTCTACAGAGGGGGGATAGGGACATCTGTGACTGGCACATCTGTGAAGGCACCATTTATGCTGAACGATATAGATATGTTGTGGCAACATATGCTGCCACCCAGACGTCTTTTTCAGGGAAGACCTTACTTATTTTAGCAAGACGTATTAAAAGAGTCCGGGTGCTAAACTGACCTGCCTGCAATCCAGAACTGTCAGATACTGATAACATTTGGCGCATTATAAAATTAAAAATATGACAAAAGAGACCATGAACTGTTGAGCAGCTGAAATCCTATATCAATCAAGAATGGGAAAACATTTCACTTTCAAAACTACAGCAGTTGGTCTCCTTAGTTCCCAAACACTTACAGAGTGTTGTTAAAAGAAGAAGTGATGAAACACAGTGGTAAACATGCTCCTGTTGTTGTTGGCATCGAATTCAAAATGGGCACATATTTTTCAAAAAACAATAAAATTTCTCAGTTTCAACATTTGATGTGCTGTGTTTGTAGTATTTTCCTTTAGAAAAATGCTTTACGTGATTTGCATATCTTTGTGTTTTCACTTATCCACTTAAAATGCAGAATGCCAGAATGGTTGGTCCCAGTTTGGATCTCGCTGCTTTAGTGTCTTCACAACATCAGCTAACTGGTTAGCCTCTGAGGTACAATTTTATATGCTCTACTACAATTAAGCTGTTTTAGTGTTGATTTCAAGCCATGAACAGAATAGAAGATTAGTAGTTACACAACATCAATACATATGATTTGATTTCTTTTAGCAAAACTGTGTGAACATGGGAGGACATCTTGCATCTGTGCACAGCAGTGAAGAGTACACTTTCATCCGGGCTTTAGTGCTGAATGTAACTTCATCAAATTCACGAACATGGCTAGGAGCGACTGATGCTGTACAGGTTTGTAGGACAAGTTATAATCTTACTATTTTTTGTAAAGCAACTGCATTAACTGTTAAGTTTTTCACTATTTACATCTTTCTCTTTGCAGGAGGGAGTGTGGGTGTGGACAGATGGCTCAGCATTCGATTACATTAACTGGTCTACTGGACAACCTGATAATGCTGGATCTGCAGAGAACTGTATGGAGATGAATTTTCCAGGTATCATTTCCTTCAAGATTAATTTCTTAAGTTTCTGTTTTGCAAATTAAAAACACTGTCCTCACTGTCTTTACTGAAGTGGTAATATAGCATTTTCACACTTTCAGACCTCTTATTTATTCCATTTAATTATGTTTCTTTGCCTCTCTTTATGTCTTTAGTGAACTGGAATGATGTAACCTGTAACTCACTTTTCCCATCAGTGTGCGCCAGTAAGTATGTTGAAAACTGAGAAACACTAATTTATTTTGGTTAATACAGCAGTTGACCAATGTTACATGTTGCATTACATAATCTACATTATATACTCTGATATGAAAGCTGCAAACAATGATCCAACTTCAGCTGGTATTACAAACACTTTGTAAGATAAATATTGTTATTTTTAGGAGGTATGGAATTTAGCAGCATATTTATAGTAATCATTACTGACTGCAGATAATTGTTATAGTTTCGTATGCAAAGTTGCATGGTTTGCATGCAGTGTTTGTAGGAGGGGAACATGAAAAATAATTTTAAAATCTTGATTTAAGTGAGTATCATTTTCAAAACTGAAGAGCTGCAATTTTACTGGACATAAGAAAGTTGTTCAAAGAGCTTACTTCGTTTACAGTGGATATATATTGTGTGGTCATAATAGGAAAAACAGATTTGTTTCTTTGCACTTTAAGTGCTAAGAGGGCAAATTTAGCCTAATAACAAGCTGTGAACTGCCTGTGGATAAGTTTGACCATCAGTAGCAACCAAACTACCAAACACGCATTTTGGCAAATTGGATGGGTTGTGAGGCCAATGATAGTTTCATCATGGCGGAAAATAGAAGTGAACAGTCAAACAACGGAAAGTAATCAGTTAACGTATTTCTTTTTTATTTTATATATATAAAATTATAATTGTAATTATAATTAGTGATACTAGTAGAGTACATTTTAAACATGTACTGTTAACCCATTTTTATTTCTGGTTCATATGAGCCATTTCACAACCTCTCACATAAACCACATAAACATGCACGTAGGATGAATAAGTTCCTCCTCTGAGAAAAACCACCACCTCACTTCGCTTGAAAGCAACATAACCCCACCACCACAACTACTAGTCGCTGTGCGTTTGTTTCCTCTTGTACTACCTGGGAAGCAGCCAAAGGACTGAAACTTCATACAAGGACACAAACACAGATACTTCAAACTACGTAGACGGTGTTTTGCGCATAATAGCGTTCAAAAATGTGTCACGACACATTCCATAATGTAATGCAAGCTCAAGCTGCATTCTAAGCGTTACAGCACTATAATGGCAACCAGCCTGTCTTGTACCGCCAGTGTGCTTCCTGAACTGCCACAGCACATAAGTAGTTGAGTCTCATGCAAAACTGGCTTACGTAAACTTAAAATATGATACATTATCGCCTTTTTGGTCCAACAGAAGAGGTAAAGCAGCTCACTCTCCTCTACTTGTCCACATTTAGCTGTTGAGGCTGTTGGAATAACAGTAGTTCCCTCTCTGATTTGTCCTCTAGTACTGTGTGTTATAACCGCCCCAGTAACATAAGAATGCACTGTGAGTTTGTAAAGAAGGACAGAGCGTTTACAACGCGTTATCCGCGCGGTCCTTTGCGTTCATGTACTTCCGTTGAGTATGTTTCTGGCCTAACTCAGTCAGCAGCATTAGACAACACAAACAATGCAGACAATGCGGTTGGGGCCTTACTTGTGAGACATGCTGTGGATCAGCTGGTACTGATAGCTTGAATGCCTGGATGTTTTTCCAAATTCCAGCAGTTTATTACGGTCGGAGACACGGGTGTATGGGTTGCACATATGAGACAAATTACTTGAAAATTTTGACAAATCTGAAGTTGACTTATTCGATTTTCCCATTCCATCTTAAATAGTGCAGCAGTTACATTCAGGTACATGTAAAGGTGCCAGAATATAAACACTGCTTCATTTAAAGAGGAAAGGAAAATTTAAGGTTGAGCTTGGATAAGAAGAAGTCTGTATGCACAATGGATGACAGGTGGTAGCCCTCTGTCCATGTCAGCCATGTAATTTTGATGTTTAACATGCACACTAACAATAGAAATCTTAGCTCCAACTATATAATGCTAAATACTGCTAACATCTAGCTTCAGTACAGACATGTAAAGTGTAATAAGCATTCCAGAAATGTAATCTTCACTTTGTACTGTTTGTAACAGTTTTACACTACTTCAGGAAAAAAATACAATAGGGATACTCACAAGAAAGAAAAATCTGAAAAGAGATCTATTTATTACAAATATCTCTGCAGTTTCTCATAAACAACATTGAGATCAGATGGAAAGATGGAAAAGAGAATTTAACTTAAGTTTCCTACTGCACAGATTTCTCCTGAGTAAAAACTCAGTAATCTCAAATATCTCCTTTTGAGTTTTAGAAGAAATATCAACAAAGCCACACATTGTATATAGAAAATGAAAATAATAACTCTTCTATCTATTGATGAGCACAAAAGCTACTTGAGTGCTAATAGCTCTTCTTTGTGGAGAACCTTCAGCCTGCTGAACTGTGAGTGTAAATTACAAGCCAATGAGGTGCACACGATGAAAACATGAAACAAACCAGCTGGAGAGAGTATATTATCAGCATTAAGCACATCATTATAAAGATATACAGCACAAAAGCAACCGAGCCCCATCACAACCAGCCTGTTCAAACACACAATCAGCACAGAATTCAATAGGAAACACTAAATATATGAAATTTCTAAAATAACTTAAGTCTTTTATAAAAACTCACCAAAACAAGTCTTTGTCCTATTTAAGATGAACACAAGCACATATTTATTCCTTCAAACAGATATGAGGGCCACTGTTAAAACAAGCTGACATGTTTATCTACATTATATATCATTTATATTTTTTTGTTCTACAGAAACAATCACCACAACAACTGTTCCCTCCACAACTGTTCCCTCAACTGCTGTTCCCTCAACTGCTGTTCCCTTGACCACTGTTCCCTCAACTACTGTTCCTTCAACAACTGAACCTGGTAAGCATCCTAGGCAAAAGCTTACTGTCACAGTGGGCATAAAAAATGTTTATGGACCATTTATATCCCTCGTTTGACGACTTTATGCAAAGAAGGAGATGTCCGATATTTTGACATAACCATTTTAGCTTTTGTAGTAAAAAAGCATTGCAAGTACCAAATTTACAGACCAAAGATGCAGCAATTTTTTAAACACAAACTGAAACTGTTTTGTAAATTTGTTTTTGCCTTTGTAAATGGGTAGAAAACAACATACTATACTCTGTTGCTGTCTCAGTCTTAAACATCTAAGCGCATCTTTTGACCACAGCTGGAGCTATAAATTTGAAATACAGACATACCGGCATGCTGTGGAGAAGAGAAATGTTTTTAGCACCGGTTACTGTACAGTGTTTAAAGCTGAAAAAAGTACAGAGATGATTTAACTGTGGTTCAGAAGAAGGGAACATTAATTGATGAATAAAGCCAACTCCAGTGAAGCTATCATTATTTATTTAACATGCTAGCTGAGAAGATAGCTAGACAGCTAATGCACTCTTGTGTGTGCATTACTGAACTACTGCTGAAATGCTGTGTAGGTAGTTGTGCTATGATAATGACATGGAATTCAATCCAGTATACATGAATTTCAGGCTGCACTCATGTAATTTTGTCATTTTTAAATTCATTAAATTCATACATATTTGTGTGTGTGTGTGTGTGTGTGTGTGTGTTTTCACTTATTCACTTAAAAATGCAGAATGACAGAATGGTTGGTCCCAGTTTGGATTTCGCTGCTTTCAGTCACATTTCAAATGAAAAAGCAGTGCTCCCTCAATCACCTCCTGCTGTCTACTCCCTTGCATCTGAAGTAGTCTGCTCTGTTTCCAAAGCAGCGGACATTAAGGAATGGCCGGTCTTCTGGCCTTAGCCTTAGCTTAACCTAACATGAACATCAGACCAATTGCTGTGTGTTTGTTTCCTCTTGTAATACCTGAAACGCAGCCAAATGCCCGAAATGTACTTCACGCAAGGGCACGAACACAGATGCTTCCAGCTATGCAGATGGTGTTTCGCCCGTAGTTGCATTCAAAAATGTGTCACCACGGATTTCATAACGCAAACGCGAGCTGCATTCTGAACATTACAGCAAGGGGCTCTATAATGACAACCAGCCTGTCTAAGCAGTCTTATACCGCCAGCATGCTTCCTGAACTGCCATAGCAGACGAGCAGTTGAGTCTCACACAAAAATGGCTTACATAAACATTAAATATGATGCATTATCGCCTTTCTGGTCCAACAGAAGAGGTAGAGCACAGAAGAGGTAGAGCTCAAAGTTAAGATTTTGAGGCTGTTGGAATAACAGTAGATCCCTCTCTAATTTGTCCTCTATCGCCCCCTTCAGTACTGAAAGTTTTAACCACCACAGCAACTTAAAATGCACTGTAAGTTTGTACAGAGGGACAGAGTGTTTGCAATGCGTTGGCCGAGCGCTGTATTTTGCGTTCATGTACTTGCGTTGTTTCTGGCCTAACTTGGTCAGCAGCGTTAGACAATGCAGACAATGCAGACAATTGGGGCCTTACTTGTGAGACTGGTACTGATAGCTTGAATGAATGGAATATTTTCCAAACTTCAGCAGTTTCTGACAGTTGGAGGCACGAGTGTATGTTCTGCATGTATGAGATAAATGTCTTGAAAAAACTGACATTTTTTGTAAAGCAACTGCATTACCTGTTACGTTTTTTTTTTTGTTTTTTTTTGGACCATTCACTCTCTTCCAGCGACTCTTCCAGCCCACTGCTTAATTTCAGCAGTCCTTGTCCTGTGTGCAGATACAGACCAGGGTCCAAACACCTAAGCCCACGTGAGTGAAAGGGGGCTTACAACCTCACACACTTAAAAATGAGGCTGGTTACACACTGCTTTCCCCCAACTATCCAATAGCCAGCAGACCGGATAGCACCCTCTGCAAAGTGCCAACCTTTTCTCATCATGTCCAAGATCTGCCTGTCCGACTCTCAGAAGGCCATCTTGGTTAATGCGGGGGTTTAGAGTACATAGTGAACTGCTTTTGGGGAGTCCACTGTCGGATCTGAGGCATTCCAGCTCCTCAGTATAGACTTCCTGCTGAACTGTGTGGATAATAACAGCTGTACTCTGAGTGAGCACATGTGCAGCCTGAACTGCAATGAACTGCAATGGTGCCATCCTTTACACTGCTCTATAATGAGTTGAAACACTGAATGATATGGATCAGAACACCGACAGCTCTGATGAGAGAACTCCAGCTTGAGAAGTGTCCAAAGCGGTGGGATCCCAGGTGCATAGAAACTGCTGTGGACGCTTGTGCTGATTCCACTTGTTCTCCTTAGCAGAAGGCTCATCTGCCTAAAACAGAAACTTAGGACCAGTGAACCAGATGGTATCCTTCAGATGGACTGTGGGTATTGGCCTTGTTGCAATGTCTGCAAGATTATGCTTGGTGTGCACATAATGCCACTGCCCTGGGAGTGTGCTTCTTCTGATCCTCTGATCTCTGTTATTGACAGACATAAAATCTCCTTTTCTCGTTGTAAATGTACCTGAATACAACCTTACTATCAGTGTAAAAGGTGACTGCATCAATCTTGATGTCTATTTCAGGGGTGATGGTTTCAGCCATGTTCACTGCCATTACTGCCGCACAAAGCTCCAAGCAGGGTATGGTCTGTTCTGGATGCGGGGCTAGTCTTGCTTTGCCTGAGACAAATCCTGTATGGCAATTTCCATGTTTGTCCACAACTTAAGACATGCAGCAGCAGCTATTGCCTTCTCTGAAGTGTCAGAGAAAATGCAGAGCTCTCTGAACTTGGCTTCTGTTGGCGACATGGCAGAGTATGACCTCGGGATCTGTATGCATTTTAATTCTTGTAGAGAATGTCTCCATTTTCGCCACAGCTGCTCCTTGTCAGGGGGCAATGGAGCATCCCAATCTGAGGAGTCTATGGTGATTTCCCGGTATTGTCACAGGGGCTACGAATCCAAATGGGTTGTATAGACTGTTCACCGTTGGCAACACTCCACATAGAGTGAATGGCCTTTCTTCACCAAGAACACGAAACATAAAGCAGTCTGAGTTTAAGTCCCACAGAAGGCCAAGGCTGCGCTGTATTAGATGATTTTCAGAATGTAGATCAAGGTCTTTCAGGTCACTGGCACAATCTTCGGGTGGGAACGCATCCATGACCTCTTTGATGTTTGAGGCTAGTTTGTGTAGTCTGAGGTTAGAGCAAGCCAATGATTCCTGTGTCCTCCTGAGCAAGTCAGTCACTGCATCTGCTGTAGGCAAAGACTTTAACCCATCATCCTCTCTGACATCCTCTCTGAACTCCTTCTGGCCTTCCTGAGCTGCTCTTCTGAAGCAGTAAATAGCTACCGCTGGGGATGGACTGTTTCCAAAAACGTGTACCTTCATACGATATTCCACCACTTCTTTCTCTGGGTCATTGTCTTGGAACCAGAGGAACCTCAGAAAGTTTTTATCTTCAGGCCGAACCATGAAACAGTGGAACATTTGCTGTATGTCCACAGTGAAGGCAATGGCATCTCTTCGGAACCGAAGGAGGACCCCAGTATGGCTGTTATTAGGATCTGGTCCTTAGGTGGATTTGGTTCAATGACCTGCCTTTGTGTTGAGTGCTTGTGTCAAAAACAACTCTGATCTGAGATGGTTTCTTAGGATAGTTCACAACCGTTTATCTCCAAAACAGCAGCTAAACTAGGCTGTATAATCAGGTAAACTGTAGGCTGTGGGCGACACCTGTTAACTAAAGTAGCTGACAGACACTTGTAATAAAATATACGCAGCAGATTTCCAGCGTAATAAACGGAATCATTATAAAAGAAAGAAGAAAACCCCTCAAACACGGCACCTGTTTAGCTCGGATCAGCTAGCTCGGCTAATGCTCCCTCAGGCTGGAATCGAGTTGTGAGAGCGGATCTCAGCGAGTTTTGTGTTTGGCCGCTGATAGTAACGCCGTTTTCTTTAGTTCATGTTAAATGAATACACATGACCGTTTGGATGCGCTGAAAATTGACTCAAGTAAGAGTAAAAGTACTATGATTGAATTCTACTCCATAAAATACCGTTACAGGGAAAACTGTACTCAATTACAGTAACGAGAGTAAATATAATTCATTATTTACACCTCTGGTTCCAGCACGTCTTAAGGGAGTATGGAGAGCTGTAACCTATGACATCGAAAAGGCCAAAAAACTCTGACCGTACCAGAGACCTGTTACTCTGGTCATCTAATACAGCATATAATCGTACTGCCTTTCCTGGATGGCCCGCTGGATACACTTTGACAAGGCAGATTTTTGAGCATGACTATCCTGAGATGCCCCTTCCACAGATCTTGGTACATGCTGAGGACACAGCACTGTCTACAGGGCTGTCAGCTTCCTCCCCGCCTTGCTCTAGAGGAGCAGTGAAGTGCCGAAATGTGAGTGTCACTTCCACATTCCACACACTTGACGTCATTGTCACAGTTCTTTGCCATGTGCACTAAAGATCTGCAGCACTTGTAACAAATTCCTTGCAGCTTTTGAAACACCTTTCTTTCTTCAATAGGTTTCTCCCTGAACCCATGGCATTTAGGCAAAGGGTAAGGTTTGTTGTGCAGGAGACAGTGCTTTGCTGGATCTACTTTCCTTTTGGATTTTGATTCAACAGGCTATTAGAAGAAATTTCTGTCTTGTGAACAGCAACAATCCTTTGATGATCATGTTTGTGTGCCCTTTTGTTCTGCCCTAATGGTTCTTCTTGGACCGCCAGGAGACTAAAGCTCGGGTCATTGCACATTTTTGCTTGATGACATACAAATTCCATAAAATAGTTGAATGGAGGATAAGACACGTTATGCTCCTCTTTGTACTTGGAACCAAGTGTGAGCCACTGGGTTCATACCAAGGGGTGTGTTGAGGTGAGAAAGACCAAGCAGATCACCATCAGCCTTTGCTGCTTGAAGTTCCAGGAGAAGGTCTCCAAGCTCCCTTAACTTTTGGTTGTCCTTGTGTGAGATCTTTGGAACATTCTCTAACCTCTTAAACAAGGAACTCTCTATAACTTCTGCTGAACCATAATATTCATTCAGTCTATCCCATATAACTTTGAGTCCTTGCTGAGGATGATTGATATGCACAGCTCTTATCCTTTTTGCATGATCTGCTGACTCACTGCCAAGCCATTTCACAAGCAAATCCATTTCCTCACTAGCTGAGAGATTAAGATCTCTGATAGCATTTATAAATGATGCTCCCCATGCTCTATAATTCTCTGGATGATCATTGAACTGCATAAGCCCAGTAGAAACAAGCTCACATCCAGCAATGAATCTCACAAAGTCTGACATGGTTTGACCCTGTATACAGCAGTGTTGTAATAATTGTGTGGATCACTAATCATCTTTCTGTGAGTGTTGTCATTGTTGTAGACACCAAAGGGACTCTGTATTGTTTGGGATGTTGTATGGGACATTACACTGAGAAACAGTAATTTATTTTGGTTAATACAGCAGTTGACAAATGTTACAAGTTACATTACGTAATCTACATTATATGCTCTGATATGAAAGCTGCAAACAATGATCCAACTTCAGCTGGTATTTTGAACATTTTTGTAAGAGAAATGTTGTTATTCTCAGGAAACATGGAGTTTAGGAGTATATTCATGGAAATAAGTACTGATTGCAGATAATTGTTATGGTTTTGCATGCGGTGCTTGCAGTAGTACAATATTATAAATAATTTTAAAATCGCGATTTAAAAGTGTAAGATTTTCAAAACTCAACAGCTGCAATTTTACTGGACATAAAGTTATTCACAACCTCTCACATAAACCGCATAAACATGCAGGATGTAGGATGAATAAGTTCCTCCTCTCAGAAAACCACCACCCCACTTCGCTTGAAAGCAACATAACACCACCACCACAACTACTAGTGGGCAGTATTCTGGTTTACCCTGTAAACTAGTTGTAATTCTTCCTCAGGTATGATTTTTTTATAACTTTTATACCAATATGTCACAAATAAACAAAGATAACGCAATGTACAAAAAGTGCAAAACATTCTAGCATAAACCTCTTTAGCTGAGCCATGGATGTTTCAGTCACACTTAACCTAACATGAACATCAGAGCAATCGCTGTGCGTTTGTTTCCTCTTGCCCTACCTGATGCTTCCAGCTACGCAGACAGTGTTCTGCTCGTAGTTGCATTCAAAAATGCACGATGCATTCCATAATGCAACACAAAAGTGATCTGTAATCTGACACTTCGAAATAGGCGACAAACCTCATAAACTATTAGCCCACCAGTTGAGGAAAACCCAAGCTGCACAAGCCATACATCGCATAAAATCAAGCAATGGCTCCATCTTGACAGACCCTAAAGCAATACAGAAATTTATAAATCACAGTGCAAAGGTGGACTAAGTGACATGAACAGTTTTTTCTCCAAATTTAGCATTCCAAAACTGAGTGAAGGGTCTGTAGAATTTTTAGATGCAGACATAACGCTGGAGGAGATACATGCAGCCATTTTTTCATTTCCAAACAATAAAGCCCCAGGCCCAGATGGATTTAGTATAGAATTTTATAAAAAAAAATATAGCAAAGAAGTTTGTCCACTACTACTTCGCATGTTTCGGCATTCATTGGAAACATCTAATCTTACTCCAACATTGTACAGAGCCAATATTGCTCTGATCGCAAAACCAGGTCGGGACCCTTTATTAGTCTCATCCTATCGACCCATTTCATTAATACCTATAGAGACCAAATTGCTAGGGAAAATACTTGCGAATAGGTTAAAAGATCACATAGGCTCAATTGTACATCCTGACCAGTCAGGTTTCATGCCAGGTAGACATACTTTCTTCAATCTCCGTCGCCTGGTTAACATTCTATAAGCCAAACATGAGACGAAAGCTGTTGTCATCTCTCTCGATGCACAACGTGCTTTTGATCAGATTGAGTGGCCATACATGATGTATGTCTTTGAGAAATTTGGGTTTGGACCTATTTTCCTGCAGTGGATACAAATTATGTATAAACAACCAACCGCATCAGTTATTTCCAATCAAAATATTTCTTCTCCTTTCCCAGTATACAGAGGAACTCGTCAAGGCTGTTGTCTTTCCCCATATTTGTTTGCTATTCTTATAGAGCCACTTGCTATAAGCATACGTCTGCATACAGAAATAATGCCTATCAAGATAAAGGGAAGTCTGCAATATATATATCTGTATGCTGATGATATATTGTTGTATTTCTAAAACCCTTCAGTGTCCATTCCTCCACTTCTTTTGCTGATAAATACTGTTGGATCATTCTCTGGATTTACAATTAATTGGGAAAAAAGTGAATTGATGCCCATTACACAAAACGTGAATGTGCAGTTTTTACAGTCTACCCCATTTAAAATAGCTTACCACAGTTTTACATATCTTGGTATTAGGGTAACAAAAAAATCAGTAAACTTGCTAAGGGTAAATTGGGAGGGAAAAATAGAGCAATTAAAACAAAATATTGACTATTGGAAGACTTTACCCATGTCACTGGCTGGAAGAATTAATGCAGTTAAGATGATGGTGCTCCCACGGTTTTTGTATGTTTTTCAGACCATCCCATGTTTTATCCCACTCAATTTGTTCAAACAATTAGACTCGCTGATAACACCATTCCTGTGGAATTATAAAATACCAAGGATATATAAAAAACATTTATGTAAACTAAAAGAAGAAGGTGGTTTTGGTCTACCTAATTTTAAACGGTACTATTAGGCAGCAAACTTAAATATTTTCTCATGGTGGAAACAAGGCCCAACAGACTTTACAGCTAACTGTCCTGCATTGTTGTCAATAGAAAGGTCTCTCTGCAATAAAACCACACTACCTGCCATACTTAACAGCCCTAATAAAGTGAATAAATCATTGTATGATGGGCATTTTATCATAAGCAGTGCTCTTAAGATATGGAAGCAGATCAAAACACATATAGGTAATCCAGATACATACCTGGATAGCCCCATATGTAGAAACCATGCCTTTCCCCCTGCTTTAAATGATATTGTGTTCACTCAATGGAAGGACAGTGGGATAAAATGTATTAGGGACTTATATAAAGATGGTAAGTTTGCATCATTTGCTGAACTTCAAAGAATGTGCAAACTCCCTGTCTCACACTTCTTTAGATATTTACAAGTCCGGGATTTTGCAAGGTCACATCTGACTAACTTTCAGACCATTTCTATACATAATACACTTGAAGAAATTAACCGATTTAATCATTTGGACCAGAAGGCAGTCTCGAATATTATTAAGACATATGAACACTAGTACAGAGTCAATTAAGCTTCTGTGGGAAAATGAGTTACGAATGGAAATAGAAAATGATGTATAGGAGATCTGTCTGAAGAATATACATAATTGCTCAATAAATGTAAGACATAATGTAGTGCAGTTTAAAAACCTGCATAGGATATACCTCTGTAAAACTAATCTTCACAAGGTTTTTCCAAATATTTCCCCCATATGTAACAAATGTAATGCTATGGAAGGTACACTGATACATTCGTTATGGGCATGTAGCAAGGTACAGACATTTTGGGGCAGTATATTTAATTGCCTGTCAAAAGCATTTGGAAGGGACTGGAAACCTAATCCACTTTAGGCTGTGTTGGGAACAACTAATGACTCGGTAACCGTGGAGAAGCATGAACGCCAGGCCATTCTTTTTAGTATGGTTATTACAAAAAAAATACTACAAATGTGGAAACAAGAGTCAGTACCAACATATGAAATGTGGATAAAGGAACTAATCAATGTATTACATTTGGAGAAGCTGTGATTTTTAAACAACGAACAGTTAGAGCTGTTTGATAAAATATGGGGTCCTCTGTTTGCCTATTTCGAAAAGGACCAAGACTAACCTGGTTCAACTTGTGAGATACCTGTTGTATGTAATTGTATGTTTGAAAGCTAACACCCTGGATTGTAAGTCCTTTTTTTTTTCTCTCCTCCTGTACGATGTAACCCTCCTGCACCTTTGATGTTATTTGTTACTTATTTTAAAATGAAAATAAATGCTTAAAAAAAAAGTATAAATAGACTCTAATATAAATGATAGTTGTATTCATTGTGGTCACTGATTGTCTTCTTGAAGTGTTTCAGTAAAGTCATTAAGTTGATTGTACAGTAAATTGCTCCATGGTTCTCCGCAGGGAATGTGATGGTCCTGCGACTCAAAGTGATTTCAAATAAAGACTTGGCGGCATCCAACAGTTCACAGCTGCTCCTCCAACAGGTAGCATACAAAAAATCATCCTAATGCTATTGTGTTCCTCACTTTCTTCACTTATGCTGAATCCATACCATTTGTCTTCCATATAAGAGACAAGCTTTTCATTATTAACTGCTTTCAAGTCAATTCCAGCTTCTGGAAACTGTATGTATAATATTTCTCCAGAATATGCTTTCTTTCTGTAGTACAGCTAACAAACTATTAAAATGATTAGTTGTAATTAATTGCATTAATATGTGCAGTTAATCACATTTAATCACATTTGTCACATTTTGCTCAAATTTGACCCTGAAGAAAGATATTTAGTTTCATTTGACATGCAGTGTATTTTGTTATAGCTATATGAGTGGACAAAATAAGCTTGATTAGAATGCGTTTATTACTTTCAACAATTCAATAATATTTTCATTGTGTGAACACAGAGATGAACCTGAATGTGGAAATCATATGATTTCATATGAACACTGTTACTAATGGTAGCATGTTGTAACCAATGAGTGTACACCAACCAGCCACTTCAGTGAATACACCTCCTTGTTTCTGCACTTACTGTGAATTTGATCAGCTCCACTTATTATATCAGGTCACTTGTAATTCTATAATTACAGACTGTAGTTCTGTAGTCCATCTGTTTCTCCGCATACTTCACCTTGCAGGTATTATTTGGGTGGTGGCCCATTTTCAGCACTGCAGTGACACTGACGTGGTGATGGTGTGCTAGTGTGTGCTGCGCTGGTACAAGTGGAGTTTTTAAACACCTCAGTGTCACTGCTGAACTAAGAATAATCCACCAAACAAAAATATCCAGCCACCAGCATCCTGTGTGCAGTGTGCTGTGACCACTGATGAAGGACTAGAGGATGACCAATGCAAACTGTGCAGCAACAGATAAGCTATTGTCTCTGATTTTACATCTAAAAGATGGACCAACAAGGTGGGTGTGTCTTATAGAGTGGACAATGAGTGGACACAGTGTTTAAACTCCAGCAGCGCTGCTGTGCCTGTTCCACTCATACTAGCGTATCACACACTATCAGGCCACCACCATGTCAGTGTCAATACAGTGCTGAGAGTGATCCACCACCCAGACTATGGGGGAACAGGGGAAAAGGGGCTAACAAGTATGCAGAGACCAATGAACTACAGTCTGTAATTGTAGAACTACAAAGTGCACCTATAAGGTAAGTGGAGCTGATAAAATGAAAAAAGAGTGTAGTTACCTTAATGAATAAGAAGGTAACCTTGATAAAGTGGCCAATTGATGTGTATATCATGTGTATCATATATATACAGTCAATGATCTAACTTCTCCTCCATTGTAGCCTCTCATTCTCCTTCATATAGTTCAGGGATTCTTGTTACAGTGGAAGCTCTCATGGGGAACTTTCTGCTTTGCCGTTGCTTTTGTTTGCTGCTTGTTATTTATACACAGGTCTCTCTCAAGCACTGTCCAGTGTAGTCTGCTGAAAATTTCACTTTAAAGCCGTTTAAAACTGTATTTGAACAGGGGAACTACAGATGGGCTTCAGTCTGCACTACTGCAGACAGTTTGAAGGGTCAAACTAGGAAAATAGGTTAATAGGTTAAAAAATGAGTGGCACTAATAGTTTTTTCTATCTCTACATCAATAAGATAAATACTGTTAACCTGGAAACTCGCTGAGCTATTTCCTAAACTTAGTGCAGTAACAGATTTCTGATTGGATCAATGTTTGGCATCAATGCTCTCATTTGCATCCTTGGGTCAAAAAGTTTACATAAGTGATACATAAATGTTATCAGAATCACAAACTGGCGGAGACATGCTTCATCAATTGGCCACTCAGACTGAGTTTATGCTTTAGCATTATCAATGTTTTTATTACACTATTTACAAACGTCTGAGTAACACCTGCCCTTTGGTCAAGACCAGATCACTCATGAAAGAGGTCACTGTAAGATTATAAAACTACAGTCACTTGCTGAATTCTGAACTCAACAGTGGTACCAAAAATGTGTGGATTTCACGCTATTATTGTTTGTAAAGCCAGGGAAGTTGTATAGTAGATAGATGTGCCTACTAAAGCAGCTGCAGACTGTATATTACACTGAATAACACAGCTATGTCCATGTGTCTCTACAGCTCAAAGGGAAGTTGATAGACGAAGGACTGCCAAACAACTTCACTCTTCGTTTGAGGTCCATTAACAAGAAATCACCCTAGAATGAAGGTGGTTGTAGGAACATGAAAATGACTTATATTTACTCTAAATACTCTTAGCAATTAGTAAAGAGAAATCAATATAGAATCAACATAATGTTGTTGTTTTTAAAGAGATTTCTAAAAATGGCCAAATCAAATAATTTAATAAACTTTAGTTGCTTGAAACTTACATAAAACTAAATTGCACCTAAGTTGCATAATGTAAAAAACACATTTGCCACTCACACTGGCTTTTTTACCAGGGCAAATTACAGTCAAAGTTGTTCAGTTGTTTTTTCTGTGGGGCTATGTCATGTTATGAATCGCTACCGCCATATTTAAATATTAGATATTACCTTTAAATATTAGATATTATATAAATAGCACGGCTACACCATCACACAAGCAGTGAAATTCACTGGTAATACTCCCTTATGAATCAGTAAACAAGTTACCGCCATGCCATTCGCTCCTGACACCACACTAAATCTGGCACTGTGTTTTATGAATCTGGCCCAATTTCCTTTCTGTAAAAATCACTGCAATGTGATACAAACCTATTATATCAAAGCTTAAAAAAGCTTAAACCATCTCAGTGGACAGTTAGAATCCATGAACTGAAAACTGAAAAACAAAAACACAACCTATTGTTTTTCTAAGCTGTAAATGTTCAGAATGTCACAAGAAGGCTATTCTATGTCTGCACAGGGAGATTCTAGGAGTCGCCACCAGAGGCTCCTGTTTTCCAGGTGTTAGTCTTATCACAGTCTCTAACTGTTGGCCTCTAATCATTATTAACATCTGTTGTTGATTGACTACCTGTTGTTTAAACTCTGTTCTCTACCTGGACTCTCTGTGAAATACTGCTCGTCTCCAGAGTGTAATTAAGCCATTATGCGGATGCTTTATTTTGATTTGTTTTGACTGTCAGAATTGAGTTCTTTTCTGTTGTTTGACTCATCCAGAATAAAACTGCTCTTGGCTCTTACCCTGCTTTCAGTCTTTCTGTTGGTATACAACTCTTAGACCATTACACTAAATGCAGAGTTCTCTTCTGATGAAATGAGAAAAGAACTGAGGTAAACTGAGGTGCTTCTTTAATCTGGAAACTTACACAGAAGAGAGAGTACAGACACCAATATAACTGTACAGAGCGACTCACATATAGTCGCTTATGTCAGCAAGACAATGACAAAACCACATTGTGCATGTAATACAACAGTATTGCTCTGTATTAAAGGAGTCCGGGTGCTAAACTGACCTGCCTGTAGTTCAGGAAACCCTGAACTGATGAGCAGATGAAATCCCATATCAAACAAGAACGAGAAAACACTTCACTTTCTAAACTACAGCAGTTGGTCTCCTCTGTTCTCAAACACTTACTGAATGTTATTAAAAGAAGAGGTGATAAAACACAGTGGTAAACATGCCATGTCCCAACTTTTTTGAAATGTGTTGTTAGCTTCAACTTAAAAATGGGCACATATTTTTCGAAAAACAATAAACTTTCTCAGTTTCAACATTTTATATGTTGGCTTTGTAGTATTTTCCTTTAAAAATATGGTTTACGTGATTTGCGTATCATTGCATTTATTTACATTCTGCACAGCATCCCAACTTTTTTGGAAATGGGGTTGTAGTTTCATGTACTCAAGTACATGTACTTAACTAAAATGCTGATTGATTGTTACTCTCCTGAGTGTTTTCAAATCATATTACTTTTACTTATACTAAAGTGAGTAATGAATCTTTTTACTCTGTTACATTTTAGCCATTCATATTTAGTTATGTATTCCATTTCTTGTGTTTAATTTCAGTTTGTTTTGATGGTGACAATATTTGTACTTCTCTGGCTATGGAACATTTTATTTTACTGTTCACAAAAAAGATTCTCACTGTGTGTAAAATTATGACGTAGGCCCATTTGCAATTGAGAAGCTGAGAACCTTGCAAAGTGCTGTGATAAGAAAAAACAGCAGAAAATAAAGCAACATGTACACCAGGCATTTCTTCTTCATTTTGTACCTGATAAACTAGCAACTCTGTGTATAATCTTAATTAAATACAAATTTAGGCTGAGCATCTTGCTTCTGCAAAAACAATCACTACAATTACTGTCCCCCCAATTCTTAGGGTTCCCCTGGCTGAAATGGCACAATCCTTGCCTGGATTGGCTGACCCAGTCAGTGGTGGGCTGATGGCCACAGTGCCATCGATGCATCGATGCACCCACTGTGACCTCCAATCAGTTCGTGGCTCCATCTGTCAGTCCTGACCTATCCCAGGTCCCGGCTGACTACCAATATCTAATGGAGGGCTTTATTAAACACCAAGCCCAAGTCCTCCCTCCTCACAGGTCTTGTGACTGTTCCATAAACCTCCTCCTTGGCACTACCCCTCCCTGAGGGAGGCTGTTTTCTCTTTCGGGCCCCGAACAAACAGTCATGGAGGAGTATATCAAGGAGGCACTGGCCCTGGGCTTCATCCTGCCATCCACCTCACCCGCAGGGGCCGGGTTTTTCTTTGTGGGAAAGAAGGAAAGTGGCCTTAGACCCTGCACTGATTACCAGGACCTCAATAAAACTACCATTAAAGACCACTACCCCTTGCCATTAATGACCTCAGCATTTGAGGCACTGCAGCAGGCCACAGTTTTTACTAAGCTGGACTGGCGCAATGCCTATAACCCCATTAGGATGCGGCAAGGGGATGAATGGAAGACCATTTTTATTACGCCATCTGGGCATTACGAGTACCTCGTAATGCCGTTCAGGCTCATGAATGCCCCCAAGGTCTTATAACACCTTATTAATAAAGTTTTGCGTGAGGCTCTAAACCATTATGTGTTGATGACATTCTCATTTACAGCAATTCAGTAGACGAACACATGGTTCATGTCCAGCAGGTTCTCCAGCTTCTGCTTGAGAATGACCTGAAGCTGGAGAAATCCCTCTTCCAAGCTCAATTGGTCACCTTTTTGGGGTTTGTGATATCTAAAGGCCTTGGACCCAGCCAAGATAAAGGCTGTTATGGAATGGCCATGCCTCACCTCCCTAAATTCCACCCAAAGCTTTCTGGGCTTTGCTAATTTCTTTCACCAGTTTATCTGGAACTTCCAGTGGACCCCTGAAGCCCAGAAAGCTGTCAAAGAATTGAAGTGTTGCCTGACCTCTGCGTCAGTTCTGCGGCTCCCTGACCCCACTCTACCATTCATAGTAGAGGTTGACGTGTCTGATGGAGAAGAAACGGTCTTGTCCCAGTGCTCCGAGTCCTATCACAAACTCAATCTCTGCACATTCTTTTCTCATTGCCTAACCCCCATGGACCGTAATTATGACGTTGGGAAACATGAACTCCTGGTGGTATAACTGGTGCTCAAGGAGTGGAGGCACTGGCTGGATGGCATGGAGCCCTCCTGGTCTGGACAGATCACAAGAGCTTGGCGTCCACTAAAGGCCAGGAGGGTGATGTTTTTTAGCGAATTCAGTTTCTTGCTATCGTATCAGCTGGGCTCAAAATATCGCAAGCCCGACATGCTCTCCAGACCAGTCTCCAGAGCTCATTATTTCTGGCACCCGGGTCGTTGCCCCATTGCACTGGGGGCTGGACACCGCCATCCAGGGGGCACTTTGGACCAACCCAGATCCTGGGGGGGGACCCAGGTCGGCAGTACATTCTGTCTTCTGTCTGAGCTAAAGTTATTGAGTGGGGACACACATCCCCTTTTACGTGACATCCAGGGGCAACTTACACACCTGAGTTCTTAAGGAGACGTTTCTGGTGGCCTAGGATGGAGAAGGACTATTATGGTTGTGGTTGACCGGTTTTTCAAGGTCTGCAAATTTATTGCTGTACCTGGACTACCGTCAGCCAAAGAGGCAGCATACTCGATGTGGTGTCCGACTGTGGTTCACCAGTCGGTTCTGGAAGGCTTTTTGTCAAATGCCGGGGGCTTCGGTGAATCTTTCCTCAGGTTTCCATCCTTAGTCTAATGGGCAGACTGAGAGGGTTAATCAGGACCTAGAGTGGACACTCGGTGTCTAGAGTCCTCTAGACCATCTGTGTGGTCTGAGCACCTGTTTTGGGCAGAGTTATGGCACTCCTTGCTGGGGATGTCTCCCTTTGAATGCCGGTTTGGGTATCCTCCATCCATGTTCCCTGAGCAGGAGGCGGAGGCTGAAGTCCCTGTCTGCTAGTGCGGCGATGCCAACAGGTGTGGCAAAAGGTTTGCGCTGTGCTACAATAAGCCTCAGGCTCACAAAAAAAGCTGCCAACAGCAAGCAACACCTGGGACCCTCGTTTCAGCCAGGGGTCTTACATGTAAATATTCACATGAGAAACTGGGAAAGTAAACAGTAAAACACATGAAGAAATTTTTTACCATGAATCACATCAAGACTGTTATTTGCTCATAGTGAGTGTAGTAGATTATCAGATAGAGCTGACAGATTGAAAAGTAGTTCATTTTGAGAAAATGGGGGACAGTGAAATAACTGTGATAAATAAAAACTGACTAATGAAGGGATTTACACACACACACACACACATACACACGCAAAAATGTGTATGATAAATGCTGTCCCCACCTGTAGCAGACACCCTCTTGGTAAATTTCCACAAATGGAATTTGGAACATTAGCATATGGAAATTTGTGCTATCAAACATTTACTTTTCCACACTAGATTTAATATTATTTTAACATGATATGTCTGGACAACCACATGTTCAAATAACCACAGCTGCTCGTATTCTCTCTCTATTTTAATTGAATTAAGTATCTCTGTGGTTTCTTCTTTCAGTCTGTGTTCATGTGCTAAGGCTATATCCCTGTGTGCACACTGTTGAAGATGAAAGCAAAAAGGTAGCCTAAAGTCAATCATTATAAATAATGTTTTTGTTATAAAATACTGTTTATACTATTGCTTGGCAGAATACTTGATGGTTATTATTTACTGAGAGATGTGCATTCATATTGCCCAGTATGCCCAGCTAATCAACATTTTATATTCAATATTTAATCAATAGTCAATGTATCAATAGTCAATCCATTGCTTTCCAGTTTGCAATAGTCCAGAGTTGCAACTAGACCTAGACTGCGAGACTAGATAATCACTGTCTTATTTTAAAATTATGTGCTTCTATGAGGAGTGAGCCATCAGACCCCTATACTTCCTGGATTGGTTTGATCTCCACATAGGCTGTGGCTGCAAAGCGCGAGTTTCATGCACTGGCATATGAACACATGTTCATGCGTGGCCTGGTTATCTTTTCTGAGCTATATATTCCTGGTTATATTCTTCTGGCCTCTCTTCTACACTCTCAGAAAAAAGGTACGAAACTGTCACTGGGGCAGTACCCCTTTTGTCACTTAGGTGGTTCCCTCAAGGGTACATCACAGTACCTTTAGTCAGGGAACATAATTGTACCATAATTCATTGAAATTATATTTTCTAAGTTATATTGACTCCATACACCCCGTCTCGTCTCCAGGCTTTTTGGTATATTTTTCTGTTTTAAAACATTAGGTTATGAAAAGCTACAAATACAAACTTTGCACCTGTGTTGACTTCTTTAAGTCAAAATTGGTTCTTTAAGTTACAAAATTGGACCTTAAAACTACTGTTGTACCTTTAAGGGTAATTTTTCATTGTTTGTACTTTGATGAATTAAAAATGTACCTGCACAGTCACTTTATGTATTTATATAGAGCTAGGCCTTTAAAAGTCATAAATATCAAAATGTAGTTAAAATGTGAGGGAAAAACACCTCTATGAAAATTTTAACTTCTATTAGTGTCCCTATGGGATTCTAGTAGTTTGTTAGTGCTAATCTGATGGTGATTTACATTAAACATTTTTGACCATATGTCATATTCTGTGAATATTACTCAAAAAGGTGTACAGTTCAAGCATCAGAAAACAGACACTTTTAACTTTTAAACATAAAATACATGAACCATTGTCTTGTTTCAGAGAATACTACTACAAGTCTAAAAGTTTACAGTGAAGATATTTTTATTTTAAAATTAATTCATTCAAGTTTGCAGGCTCTGCCACATTGCCAATATCATGGCATTGTTTATACTCACTAGTCACTAGTCACTCAATACTAAAAAAATGAATAAAACTGTTATTTTCATTGAAAACACTGGTAAAATAGGAATTCAATAATTTCCTATTTATTAAACTTGTACTTGTAGGCATAATATAAACAGCATTAAAAAGAACAAGTCAAGTGGCACTTTCAGACACTTTTACAGTCAGCTGATACAGATCTTGATCACTGAACTCATTATTAATCTCAAACCAGCTTAAATCCTTGTACATGTCTCAAGTGCAGTGCCATGAGATTTACATTCACAGCTATGAGCCCTCAGTGAAGGAAAAACAGAATATGACTCTAAAGGGTAAATTATGAGAATTGACAGTTATGGTAGCCACTACTAACTGAACCCCCATTTAAGGGGCTCAGAAGCAATCAGACAAACTATCATAATCAGAAATTTAACTGTCATTTTTAATACTTTAATACTGACCCATCATGATAGTACTTGCAAATGGACAGCTGAGCATAATGAAGCATTACTCTAGGTGAAACAGACTATTTCAAATGCACCAGTTCTAAAGTACTACAATCCAGAGGAAGAGCTGACTGTCTATTGTGACGCTTCAAACACAGGACTAGGCGCTGCACTCATTCAAGGGTGTCAATGGACCAGCTCCACAGGATTCATTCTGCTACAAAGGAAGACAAACTGTTGCAAATGTCCACGAAAACCATTCTAAAGGGATGGCCAAGGTCAAAAGCCGATGTACCCCCTTGAAATAATGTATTACTATGCATTCCAGGAGGAGTTAAGCTATCAAGTTGGAATTGTCTTTAGGGGTAAACATGTGGTTATTCCTCACACACTCAGAGGGAAGATCACTCAATCACTCAATCATTTGAGTGTTGAAGGCTGCCTTAGGAGGGCCAGGGAATGTGTGTACTGGCAACGTATGAATGACCAAGTCAAGTCATACATATTGAAATGCAGCATCTGTCGGTCAGTCAACAACAGGCAGTGGAAGGAAACATTCCCCCACATGAAATACCAAGCAGACCATGGGCAAAGATATGCTCTGATTTGTTTACATATGATGGTAAGGATTACCTTATCACAATGGACTTTTTTGGAAGCAGACTATCTTCCAAACACAAAGTCCAGTATTGTTATTAGAAAGCTAAAAGCCCATTTTGCCCAAGGTATTCCTGACACTTTCAGACAGTGGTCTTCAATTTATATCCCAGGAATTTAGAAAATTTAACTAACTCTGGGACTTCAGTCATAAGACCTCATTGCCGGGCTATCCGCAGAGCAATGGCAAGGCAGAATTGGTTGTGTAAACAGTCAAGAGGCACATGCACACACAAAAGCTGCAAGACAGGACCCCTACCTGGCATTGTTGGACCATCACAATACACCAACACTAGGGTTGCAAAAAAGCCCAGCTCAGAGGCTGCTTAGATGTCACACAAGAACACTTTTACCCACAAAAATCAGCTTACTACAACCAGAAGTCTAAATGTACTCCAGGAACTTAAACACAATCAGCAACACCAAAGACTCTACTACAGTAGATCTCCCAGAGATCTGAACATGCTACAGCAGGGCGTCTGTGTGAGAATACAACCAGTTGAACCTCACACCTTCTGGAGAAAGGGCAGGGTTGTGGAGGCAGTGAGAGTACCCGAGTGTACAATCCCAAACAGTCGGTGGTCCCCAGTCATAGGCAGACTGTTGGATCTGACCCACCTGATTGGGTCTCAGATAGAAACATAAACACTGATGACAAAAAAAGGATGTGGCAAGAGGAACCTTTGTTATATGTGTTTGCTGCAACACAGGCCAAGAGAGCTGATGCACTTGCGAAACTGCACGTTAGAACACCAAATGTGATTAAAAGGAAGCAAGTTTAAAGCTTTAACCATCCATTCTGAAGAGCTTTTATAGAGCGGACAGAACAGAATGAAACACATTTTATCAGCACCACTTACCGTATAGATGCACTTTGTAGTTCTACAATTACAGATTGTAGTTTAGCTATTTCTCTGTATACTTTGTTAAGCCCTTTTACCCTGTTCTTCAACGGTCAAGACTATTTGATTCGATTACGATTCAGAGGGCTGCGATGCGATTATAAAATGATTATCGATGCATCTTGATGCATCTTTTTTTCCATACAGGATGTGTGACAACCTGGTACTTTTAAAGCAAAATATTTGTAATGATCCATAGTAAATTTACTTTCAATATCTTTAATTAATAAAACAAATGGAAGCGATGAGGCAAGTCAACTGGAAGGCTCTCTTTCTCTTGTTTGGAGCACATGAGACACAGGCTGCCACTCATCTGTGATAAAATGCGCAGTTATGGTGACATAAGATTCTGTGGCAATGGATGTCCATGCATAATGTGTTACAGCTATCCTACCCATTTTCTTCAGTGATTCCATAACTTCGGTTTTGGTCTTGTTGTAGAGAGTGGGGGGGATCACTGTGTCAGTAAAATATCTTTGAGACGGGCTGCTGTATCTCAGCTCCAAAGTGGACAACATAGCGCGAAAGCCCTGGTTCTCAACGACTGAGTATGGATGCAAATCCTTGGCAATAAAAGTTGCGATAACATTTGTAATTTGCTTCAGATTTGGACGGAAGCTTTGACATCGCTTTCCCTTCAACTCCATAGAAGCCAAAGTGCTTACATATGCTAGCTCAGGCGTCAGCAACATACGGCTCTTTTACTCCACTGCAGAACTATATTTTTAGATAAAAACAAAATAATCCTCCTTTGCAGTAAAATAAAGCTGTCCTGATCGGTCTAACATTGTTTCAACAATAGATGGTCTTAAATGCTGCTAATTCACCACCCTATAACCCTGAAGGCCGGCATGCAGACTGCAGGGCACATAGCAACGCGATCTCGTCTAGCTAGTAACGTTAGCTAACGAAACGGCAAAGAGAAAGATTTAAGATGAACATTTGGAGACGAAAGGACTTACATTTATAAGCACTGCAGTTGGTTTCCTGATTCATTAAATCTGCAACGAGAAACTGTCAAACACTAAAAAGCTGTGAAGCTGAAATCAGCTTCTCTTTCTAATTTTCCTGTTCCATCCGGAATTTTGGCGTCTCAGGCAGAATTTAAGGTGGAACAGGAAAATTTGAACAAAAAGCTGGCGAATGAGAAGCGACTTCAGCCTCAAACGTTGAGAGGCATTTTACAAAAAACTGATCTACATTTGAGGAAAAGTTTCCTGTTGGAGATGGGAGGAAAGCGGCTACAGCTAAAGCATAAAGCAGAGCAAAGTAAGTCTGCGTTTTCATTTATATTTTTGAACCTATACTAGGACATTAGCACATACTGAGACATATTGGACATTAAATGTTTAGGTACTCAAGGTGGTTTGATTTTTTTTGAGAAACAAAATGGCTCTTCTTAACATTTGGTTTGTTGACTCCTGACCTAACCTTGCTTTTAATGTAGAGGGCACCGGTTGGATTTCTCGCTCATCCATTTATGTTTTTGTGATGTGCTGCCACAGAGCGTCCAGGCGCTGCACTTCCGCACTTCTAAGTTCCGCCTTTTGCGTTCCGTCAACATTGCATTATAAATTAAAATTTGATTTTTGACATTTGTGAATCGATTCAGAAATGTCCACGTCCGCATTGCAATTCATCTAAGAATCCATTTTGCCCCCTATGATTTGGGTGGTGGATCATTCTTACTACTACAGTGATACTGATGTGGTGGTAGTGTGTTAGTGTGTGTTGTGCTGGTATGAGTCGATCAGACACAGCAATGTTGTGGCACACAATTACTAAAGAGAAAATTTTAGATGAATGGTCAACTACATTTAAAGCAACTATGTTTGCTTTTAAAGGGGATTAATGCAAACAAATCTTGAAGTAAATCATGGCTATCTACATTAAGGTTTCATGACATTTGTATAATCATTATGACAGATATTTATATAGAAAAACATATAAATTTCTTTCTTACAATGCAGTGTTAAATGCTGTACATTTCATTTTCAATAAGTTTATATGTAATACAAGGTCTACTTGTACACATTCTTGACTAATGTATTTGTATTCAACATTTTCTTATTCTAAATGTATAAAAATGGACCCTAAGAATGATGCTATTCTTAGATCATTTTAAAATAATATTTGTAAATATGTTTCTGTACCCGTGGTGTTAGTAGTGGTTGGCATTAAATATTTCTTCCATTTCTTCCATATAAACTGTCTGCTGACCATTGGAAGACACCTGGAAATAAAGGCTGTGACATGACTACTGATCTCTTTGTATGGATACCTGAGACAATACTGGCCCCTGACTACTTAACTAATGTCCTCTTTTAGCAGTTATGATGTAAAAATGCTTCCTCTGATCAGTTTCTCATACTTCTTCCTCATAGCTTCTCATGGGGTTTTTTACATTTGAAAGCCAAACCAATGCTGCATCATACAGAGTGACACTCTACTGACATGTTTTAAGATGTTTTCTTCCTCCTTCTGAACAATACAAACACTACTCAGAAGGAAAGGTGGATTGCTTGCAGGTTAGTGTACCTCTCTTTCTTGCTTTTGTACTCTTCTAAATATGTAACTGTAGTCAGAATGAATTAACCTCACTTAATAAAATCTAAATAATCTAATCTTTCAGGGCGTTAAATTGTTTTTAAAAATATAACTTTTATTACTACTACTACTGTTTCCTTTGTCCCTTTCTCTGATCCCACCTTAACCTCACTCTTTCTGGTTGTTCTCTGCCGAAGCTTCACACACGGGTGCATCGATGTTTGGAGATGCACTCATATTTTTGTAATAGGAGGGCATCTTTATACACTTAGAAGCAGACATGACTGGTGGTTGGCCAGTACAGAGATGAACAAGATTTCTGAGAACAAAATGCAGAGTATCATTTTGATTGCCAAAAAAATGCACTTGCAGGTCAGGACGCTCTGCTCTGACATACAGACATAAGATCATTACTTTAATAAACTTGGTATGCTTGTAGAACAGCTTTGTACAGAAAACATTTTCTTTACAATTCTCTTCTTGCAGACATCAGTTCCTCATTACTTAGTAAACTTCATACAGTTCAAAACTCTGCTGCTCGTCTCCTCACTTACACCTGGTCACATCACCACATTGCACCTGTTCTCCAAAACCTCCACTGGCTTCCCATAAACTACTGTATGCAGTTTAAGATCCTTCTTCTCACTTACAAAGCTCTCAACAATCTTGCTCCTTCCTATCTCTCTGACCTTCTCCAATCCTACAAGCCCAATTTCCTTTCAACTACTACTACTACTACTACTACAACTAATAATAATAATAATAATAATAATAATGAGAAGAAGAACAAAATGCATTTTCACCCTAGAAATTCTTAATAACAGGATGGACAGGATCTCAACAGATTGATATAATCAGATTGATATAAAGCAAAGGGACATATAGCCAAGTACAATACGCATCAGACCAATTTTGTTATCTGGTCAGTTTATATTGCCAGTCATACTTCACCATTCAAAGCACACCTGCTTGATTAAGATCTCTGAATTAGTCTTTCAAGTTCTTACTTTACTTTTACTGGTACAGTTGGTTTGATTTTGAGATTTTCTGCACTGTTCTAAAAATAATGAATTAAGCTCACTTAAAAGAGAAAACTGCACAGACTTCCACAGTAAACCCACCCCCCCCCACCTCCACCAATCTAATGGAACTGATTTAACAAGCTATTATTATGTTATTATGGGTTTCACTACATTTTTCACTAGATCTGGATGCTTTGTAGTCTGTCACACCATGAATAGATACATATTTATGATGCCTCTTCACCACTAAAAGAACGTTAGACTTTCCTCCACAATTATTAGTAGGCTTAAGAAGAGAAACAAAGTATGCAGAGAAACAGACTACAAAGTGCAAAGATCTGATAAAATGGACAGTAAGTGTAGCTACAGGGAGGTGTTCCTAATAAAATGCTCGGTGAGTGCATCAGATTTATATAGAAACTGATTTAGATGTTTAAACTGTTTTGCTAATATGTATTAAACCAATGTTTGCTGTTGTCATTAGCACAATGAACAAAACCAGCATTAGGGTTAGACCAGCATTCTGGCCTGTTTGCTCAGATGCTTATCACACTGAGCTATACTGATTATTGAATGTAGCACAAACAGACTCTTACAGCTAACTGGTAACTTCCCTGATGACAGACTGATGATGGTTGACCGTCTCACTTTGTTTAATTAGGGTGGCCAAGCTTCACCCAAGGATGGAAGTGCCCACACCCTGGCTACCTCTAGCATACGCCTTAGCTGAACACTGCGCTGAATGAATATAGAAACTTATAATTCTAAACTGATGTATTGTTAACAAACAATTATATAAAGATTAAGTTGCTATGTATAGGTCACTGTTACAGTCTTACTGATATTTATTTACTTGATATGATGGTCACGTGATCATGAGGTGTGCATAAAGACTTAATGCGATCTGACATAGAAAAAACTGTCTAACAGGTAAAGTATAACTTTCAGAGAAAAAAGCTGGTGACTGACAGGGAACGCAGTGAGATATTATTGTGTACGTTGCAGTGAACAACACGTTTTCACAGCAGCAATCACCACTTTTTAGTTAAAACTGTTAATATGTGGCTTGTTGAGCCAGTGCAGGCTTTATACATGGAAAAAATGAGATTCACTTTAAAGAATGAGTGAGTTTAGTATCATTTGTCAACCTCTAGCTGAATATCTGGACGTAAAGCTAAATGCTTTAAAAACTGATCCCCTGATCAGTTTTTCATATGTCTTCCTCATACCTTCTCATGGGGCTTTTTAAATTCGAAAGTAGCACTGATGGTAAATAATACCTGAGGTTTACTGAAACTGCTTGCGTTGAGAGATAGTGAGTGACACCCTACTGATGTGTTTTTAAATGTTTTCTTCCTCCTTAAGATTACAAACACTACTCTGAGGGAAAGGCAGATTGCTCGCAGGTTAGTGTACCTCTCTTTCTTGCTTTTGCTTTCTACTAAATAATCTAAATAATAATCTAATAATCTAAATAATCAAATCTTTCAGGGGGTAAAATTAATTTTAAAAACACTAGTACTACTAATAATAATTATAATAATAATGAGAAGAAGAAGAACAACAACAAGAAAACACATTTTCACACTTACTGGCAACCCTAGAAATTCTTAAGAACAAAATCTAATTGACAGGATGGATAGGTATAATCATTATCCATTACAGGAGTAGTGTTGTTACTAAAGCAAATGGACACACAGCCAAGTATAAGAAAGAAAATAATGTGTCAGACCAATTTTGTTATCTGGTCAGTTTATATTCCCATTCAAACTTCACTATTCAAAGCACAGCTGCTAGTTTAGGATCTCTGAAGTAGTCATCCTTTTAAATGCTCAAAAAGTCATCCTAGGTTAAATGTTTCCTATGATCAGTTTCTCATACGTCTTCCTCATACCTTCTCATGGGGCTTTTTTAAATATGAAAGCCATACCAACGGTGCATTTCATACTTCCGCAGCCTTTCTCAGTGCCTCAGCTGCTGGAACTGGCTTCACAAGCTGATTTTAACTATGGGTTTCACTACATTTTTCATGTGATCTAGATGCTTTGTAGTCTGTCACACCATGAATGGATACATATTTATGATGTCTCTTTACCACTGTAACTAAAAGAGACGTTACAGTTTTCCTCACAATTATTTGTAGACTTGAGAAGAGAAACAAAGTATGCAGAGAGAAGGATGGACTACAAAGTGTAAAGAACTGATAAAATGGACACTGAGTGTAGATTCAATGAGGTGTTCCTAATAAAATGCTTGGTGAATGTATATAGACTAGATTTATAGTATATTTATATAGAAATTGATTTAGATGTTTCAAACAGTTTTTCCTGCCTTTATAAGCACAAGCACAAAACCAACATTAGGGTTAGACTAGAGCTCTGGCCTGTCTGCTCAGATGTTTATCACACTGAGCTATACTGATTATTGAATGCAGCATAATCAGACTGTTATAGCTGACTGGTAATTTTCCTGATGACAAATTGATAATGGTTGACTGTCTCACTTTGTTTAACTGGGGTGGCCAAGCTTCACCCAAGGATGGCAGTGCCCACCCCTGCGCACTCCTTGCCTATGCCTCTGCTGAACACAGCACTGAATGAAGATAGAACCTTATTATTCTAAGCTGATGTATTGTTAACAAAGTACTACATAAAGATTAAGTTGCCATTTATAGGACCCTGTTATAGTGTTACTTTTATTTATATATTTACTTACCTACTTACTTACTTACTTATTACTTACTTATTTGTTTGATATGACGATGACGTGAAGTGTGTATAAAGACAATCTCACATGGAAAAGATGGTCCAGCAGGTAAAGTATAACTATCAGAAAAAAGCTGGTGACTGACAGGGAACACAGTGAGATATTATTGCTTACATTTAAGTGAACAAGATATTTTCAGTTACACTCACCACTTCTTAGTTATAACTGTTAATCTGTGGCTAGGTGAGCTAGTGCAGACATCATACATGGAAAAAATGAGTTTCACATTAAAAAATGAGTGAATTTAGTAGAATTTTTCAACCTTTAGCTGAAAATCTGAACGTAAAGCTAAACGCTTCCGTTGATCAGTTTCACATACGTCTTCCTTGTACCTTCTAATTGGGCCTTTTTAAATTTGAAAGCCAAACCAATGGTGTATCAGACTTGGGGTTCACTGAAACTGCTTGCCTTGAGTGTTACTGAGTGACACTCTACTGATGTGTTTTAAAATGTTTTCTTCCTCCTTCTAAAGAATACAACCATTACTCTGAGGGAAAGGCGGACTCCAAGCAGGTTAGTGTAGCTCTCTTTCTTACTTTTGCTTTGTACTAAACATATAACTCTAGTCAGAATTAATTAACCTGGCTTAGTAAACTCTAAAAAATCTAATCCTTCAGGGGTAAAATTGTTTTTAAAAATACCACAACTACTTCTACTACGACTACTACTACTACTACTACTACTAATAATAATAATAATAATAATAATAATAATGAGAAGAAGAAGAAAACACATTTTCACACTTAATGACAACCCTAGAAATCCTTAAGAACAAAATCTAATTGATAGGATGGACAGGATCTCAACAGACTGCTGCAATCTTTATCAGACAGGAATAGTGCTGTTTTTAAAGCAAAGGGACACATAGCCAAGTATGACAAAAAAAAAAAAAGCATCAGACCAATTTTGTTATCTGGTTAGTTTATCTTCACTGTCGTACTTCACTATTCAAAGCACAGCTGCTTGTTTAGGATCTCTGAAAAAGTCACATTAGTTCTTACTTTACTTTTACTGGTACATTTGGTTTGATTTTAAGATTTTCTGCATTGTTCTAAAAATAATGAATTAACCCCACTTTAAAGAGATAATCATGTAGACTTCCACAGTGCCCCCCCACCCCACCATCTGCTGGAATTCATTTAACAAGCTTTGTAGTCTGTTCGCTCCATGGCTGGATACATATTTATGATGTTTCTCTTTACAACTGTAATTAAAAAGGCATGTTAGAATTTCCTTCACAATTATTAGTAGACTTGAAAAGAGAATCATACTGTTAAAATATCTTCATCAACTTGATCTTACACTAAAACTATGAGAGGAATCAGTGAGGAAAAATCATAAATATTATAGCATTCATAACTATTAAAGAAGGCACAGTGGATACACAAGTTGTTTTGCCTCATTAAAGGACTGTAGTTGGCCACAGCTACACAATAAGAGTCCCTGTCAGACTAACCCAGTAAATAAATACTAGATAACACATTAACCTAAAACTAACCTGAATAACATTTCACAAACATGCTACAATATTATTTCTATGATAATATCATGTGGCATGCAGCTCAAATGTCCTTATTCATCAACCAATGGAAAATTAGAGTATAAAGAATTGTTTATTACACAGATCAGACAATTTTCATAAACAAATACTTTATATAAAGCTTCATATTTTATAAAAGCTTTATACTTAAACATACAAAATACACAAAACACACAGACAAAATACTCACACACAGACACACAAGACACAATACAAAATCTCAAAACTAAGAATCTGGAGTTTCCTGAAACTTTGAATGGAACCTGATTCCATGGTCTGATGAGACAATAACAGTGACCTTTGGAGGTGTTTTTCCATATTCTAGAGTTAGGATTAATCAGAAAATTACCCAGCCCCCAATGTAAAGTATGGATAGGACATTGTGGAAACTCAGAAACTCTCACATTCATCCAAGGGTTAGCTCTTTTATACCCACGTTATGTTCCAGACATTTCCTTGGAAAAATGTGACCAAGCTCTATTCTTATTCTAGGTGCAACTATAAATGCTACTCAATTAATTACTATTACTGTAAGGTATTTCTGATGTCCAGTAACTTCCCAGTATTAAAGGACATCATCACACTGTCAAATGTTTTTTTTTCATCCAATTTCCAGCCTTTTAAATAAACATTCAGAACAGAAATCATGACATTTTGCAATAGTTTTAGAGCTAGTGAACTGTTTTATTCCAGGCATTCCTTCAAGCTGGTTCAGCTTAGTGGTGCATGGCTATAGTGGCACTGCATTTACCACAAGCTTGGTGTTGCAACTATAATTTGGTAAGGAACAATGTTTTCTGTGAAATTTATATATGCCAATTAGTCAATATTAGTCAATATCCTACCTTGAGCTGTTAAAGACAAAAAACAAAAGACTATCAAAGAGCTACTATAAATACATCAAAACTTTGATGAAAACAAGGTATGATTAAATAAAACTAGTGTGTTCAAAACAATTCTAGTTGAATTCTAATTTCAAGAAAGATTTAAAGTTTGGACTCACACTTATGTGAGAATAGGTTTTATTTCAACAGTGTTGTACTTTACTACCATATTTTTGTATTAAAATATTCATCAATCTCAGCAATAGAAACTTAGTTAGCATTACATGCATTGCAGTCTCACTGTATTTATTAAAAGAAGATGCCAAGATGATTATCCAAGAACAGTAGTATCTGACTGTTTTTCTGTGTTGAACACCTCCTTACATTTCCACTTTGATGCTCAAAAAAGTTCTAATATGAGGCTTCCTTTTCTTCATTATCATGTACACATACAGACATCTGCTCTCTCTACACAGGCAAGTGTAGCCACTAGAGTCAACCATACAGGTCAGGGCTCTGTGTGGGCCAGTCAACTTCCATACCAAATTCACCCAACCATCCCTTAATCGACCTTGCTTTGTGTACTGGGCCACAATCATCCTGGAACAGAAAAGGGCCTTCCCCAAACTGTTCCCACAAAGTTGGAAGCATACAATTGTCCAAAATGTATGGTATGCTGAAGCATTAAGATTTCCCATTCTACTGCCAGTGTTTGTCTATCGAGACTGCAAGGCTATTTGCTTAATTTTATCCATCTGTTAGTAATAGGTGTGGCTGAAATCAATACTTTTGTCCATATAGTGTATGTCACACACAAGGACATATGCCTTTGGATGAAAATTTTAGGTTTAATGAAGTAAATAAATCTGCTAGACCTACTAAACTAGCTATTTCTAACAAACTAGACTACAATATTAATCTTTTTAATCCGGGGTTAAATAAAAAGATGGCAGTGTTTTACATTATAACAGGTAGCCTGTTTAGTTTTCCTTTTTTTCTAAGTGAACAACTTTTTGTTTTACAGTTTACTTTATTTTTAAACACCCTTTATAACCTTGAACATTGGAAAAGTGGAGCTGGCTCAGTCCAGTCTGCCACAGTCAAGGAGTATAAAATAAGCTGACTGTATGCAGACTGGACTGCTAATGTTCTTGCATTTTCAGACACAACATCTAGAGTTTAATTAGAATAGTGCAATAAAGAAAAAACACTGAGTGTCAGCTCTGCACACAGAATCACCTTGCTGATGAGAGAGGTCAACAGAGAATGGCCAGACTTGTTCGAGCAGACAGAAAAGCTATGGTAACTCAGATAAGAGAAGCATCTCAGAATGCACAACATGCCGATCCTTGAGGAGGATGGTGAAGAAGACCATGTCATGTTCCACTTCTGTCATCCAAGAACAAAAAGCTAAGGCTGCAGTGGACACAGGCTCAGCAAAAACTGGACAGCTGAAGACTGGAAAAACATAGCCTGGTCTCAATTTCTGCTGAGGCACACAGATAGTAGGTTAAGAATTCAGTGCCATCAGCATGAATCCCTGGAAACAATTTGCCTTGTGTCAACAGTCCAGGCTGGTAGAGATGGCATAATAGTGTGAGGAATGTGCAACCCTTCATGGCTACAATTCACCCATCTCCTAATGGCTAATTTCAGCCATAATAATGCACCATGTCACAAAAGCAAAAGTTCTTATACACACACACACACACACACACACCACTTATCGAAAAGTAAAATATATCTCTGACAAAAACATACAGGATAGTCTATACCAAGGGTGACCATTCTGAAGGAGGGCACAGTAACAAGACTGGGTTGCCTGCATAACCACATACAGTATTTCCCTAATGCATAATGAGTGATGGGGAATTACTTATTAGTTTAATTATACAGCATCCAAATATCTGCTTGAAACGTTTTGAAGAGTATATGTCCTTATGACTGGTAGAGGCAAACCAGGGCTGGACTGCACAGCTGACTGGATAAAGTCTAATAGGCCACTCCAATCAATTTGCTTCCAGTTTATCACAAGCAGTGGTCCTTTAACAAAGTTGTCAGATATTTCCTCTGAATGTAATTAAAGCATTATGGGAATCCGTTCTGTAACACCCTTTTAGTTGAGTGTCACAAATTGCCACAAACTACTCAAACACTGAAAACTGGTTATCCACTTGACCAAATTAGGCCTTGAAAATAGAGTGAGTAGGCTGACTATTACTGATAACTGATTAGACCAGGGGTGTCCAATCTTATCCACAAAGGGCCATTGTGGCTGCAGGTTTTCATTCCAACAGAGCAGGAGATCACATGATCATTTGTTTGATGGCTGAGCCATTGTTTAAACTAGTGAAATCAGGTGAGCTCCTGCTTGTTTGGAATGAAAACTTGCAGCCACAGTGGCCCTTTGCGGAAAAGATTGGTCTAATCCAGCAGTGTCCATTCATAAACAGTTTTAAAACTGTGACTGATATTAAATACAAAAATATTGTATGTAAAATTATGTAAAATATATTTATGATTGTGTATGAATGTAAATTCTCAATTTTTTAAAACAAGAAAATACAAAACTGCAGTTTATCATAGGCAGATGTAAAAAAAAAAAAGTGAGACTTTCTGGTGCACTGGGGGACCCTCATAATTGCTATATTTGAATCTTTTGTGTTTTGGGTTTTTTTGTGAGTTTTGTGACAAACCTCCAAAAGGTAAATGTGTTAAAACTATTCAATATAGTTAAACATACTGGCTACATGCCACTGAAAGGTGGGCTTCCTCTCTGGCAAAGAACTGTAGCTGAGACTTCCTATCTCTGAGGCTCTCCAAAGCTGTCTTTTTTAATAGTGGTGAACATTACAATATACAGGCCTTGAAATGATTTGTTTGATTAATAAATAATAAATAACCATACCATGCCACTATGACTTTAAAGTGCCCCACTTGTTAGCATGTTCAGTAAAAGTGGGACAGTACTTAAAACCCACTTGATCAAATAACTGTATATTTTGAACTACATTGTTTTTCATTACTCAAACAATCAGCTTTTACAAATACAAGAGAAGATGTTTACCCTTTATACATCCTTAAGTATTCTGATTTGTCAATCCACTAACCAATTTTGGATTGTGATCGTGCTCACAACAGTGATGCCA